TTACTGGGATTTTGTTCTAGCAAATATTGAAAAAATTATCTTTTACTTCATATTCCATTTTTACCAGTGACATAAATCGATTTATACTTGGCATATCTTAGCAAACACATGTGCCAAAAAATGTAACTGCAGAGATGTCGGAAAAGGAGGTGAGGTCATAGAAAAAGGATGTGCAAAGGGCTTTGTATAACTTATCAGTTTATAAGTTCCAACATGTCATTTTTATTTTTATAAACCATAAATGTCCCAGATGTTGAAAACATTTTGCTAAGTGTAACTTTTCACTGCCACAGGAGCCTAACCCCAAAGAAAGAAATTTTGAATATGCAGAGGTAGCTTGATAAATTTACAGATAAAGTTGTAGTTTCAAAATACAAAAATAGGGCAAGCATGGTGGCTCACATCTGCAATCCTGGCACTTTGGGAGGCCGAGGCAGAAGGATTACATGAGTCCAGGAGTACGAAACCAGCCTTGGCAGCATAGTGATATCTCATCGCTACAAAAAAACAATTAGGCAGGCATGGTTGCCTGCACCTGTGGGCCCAGCTACTGGGAGGCTGAGGCAGAAGGATCGCCTGAGCCCAGGAGACCAAGGCTGTGATGGATGAGCTATGATCATACACTCCAGCTTGGGCAACAGAGTGAAAACCCTGACTGTTCAAAAGATTTGTAAAAATATGTAAATATGATTATAAGTGGTTGAAAATCTCCATCTATTTGAAGGCATTTTCTGTCCGCAGTGTCACAGTATCCATCAAACGCCAAGACCCAGCCCAGCCCAAATCAGCATCTACACTGCTCCCTCGGCCCACCAGTCCATGGCCTAGGGCTGGGAAATGAACACAAAGGGGCACTTGTGGGTAGGAATTCCAGCACTGAGGCATCAGGACTGGGAAGACAACAAGATGACAAAGAGAAAGAAGATGAAGGAACACCCCATGGTAAGAAAAAAAATATATATGTATATAATATTATAATAATTTATAATAATAATAAATCATGTAATAAATATAACAATATAATAATAATGTATTACCATAATTATAAAAGAGCACAAGTATTAATTTTATTAATTCACTCACTCAATATTTATTGAGCATCTATGATGCCTCAACAAAGGCAGTTTTGCTGGTAGTTAGTGCATTCACAAATGTGGGTGTGTGTATGTGTGTAGAATGTAAATGCAAATGAATACATTAAAAGCTACATTATGCTGGGCGCGGTGGCTCATACTTGTAATCCCAGCACTTTGGGAGGCCTAGACAGGAGGATGGCATGAGCCCAAGAGTTCGAGACCAGTCTAGGCAACATTACGAGAACTCATCTCTACAAAAAAATCAAAAAATTAGCCAAGAGTGGTGGCACGTGCCTGTCTGTCGTCCCAGCTACTTGGGAGGCTGAGGCAGAAGGATCGTCTGAGACCAGGAGGTCAAGGTTGCAGTAAGCTATGATTGTACCACTGCACTCTAGCCTGGGTGACAGAGTGAGACCCCTTACTCAAACAAACCAACAAATAAATAAATAAATAGATGCTTTAAAAGCTATGTTAACATGTAACATATCTCAGACTTTTTTCTTTAAGCAATTTATGCAACGCTCGTGTTCTTGAAGTTCTTGCTCTATTTTTTTCACTTCTGAATGGAATATATAGAATGGTACTTGTGTTCTTTAAAACAGAAAGAACCCCAACACCTGGTCCACACACTGGTACTAGTCTGTGGCCTGTTGGGAACCAGGCCACACAGCAGGAGGTGAGTGGCAGGTGAGCAAACCAAGTTTTGTCTGTATTTACAGCCATTTCTGAACACTTGAATCACCTCCTGAACTCTGCCTCCTATTCGATTCTTATAGGAGTGCAAACCCTATTGTGAACTGCACATGCAAGGGATCTAGGTTGCACGCTCCTTACGAGAATCTTTGCCTGATGATCTGAGGTGGAGCTGAGGCGGTGATGCTAGCGCTGGGGAGTGGCTGCAAATACAGATTAACATTAGCTGTGAGGTTTGACTGCACAGAGAACATAATGAATCAGTGGCTTGCAGACTCATATCAAACCCCTATAGGTGAGTGGCAAGTGAGTTGATATACTTCAATTGTACAGCTGCATCGGGTGGCAGACTTTAAGTCAAAATCAGACATTTATTTTAGTTTGTGCATGGCCCACCCATTATTTTATTTCCCACTTCCATCCATGCTTCTTTGATGCACTGTGTACTTGTCTCAGTCACAGTTTTGGTGAGCCCATAAGCTAACCCTAGCCAAAATGAGTAAAAAACAAACATCACTGGAGAGCTTCTTTAAAAAGGGGGAACTGCAATTCCAGCACCTTGGGGGCCAAGGTGAGAGGGCTGCCTAAGCCCATGGGTTCAGGCCCAGCCTGGGCAACACGGTAAGACCTACTCTCCATAATAAATCAAAAAATTAGCCAGACATGGTAGTGCATGCCTGTAGTTCCAGCTACTTGGACGGCTAAGTCAGAAGGGTCTCCTGAGCCCAGTGGATCAATGCTGGGGTGGCCGTGAGTGTGCCACTGCACTCCAGCCTGGGTGATAGAGTGAGACTCCAACTCAAAAAAAAAAAAGGGCGGAGGGAAGACCCAATTATGAAGAAGACTCTAAGGTTGCCAACCTAAAGCCGCATTTAAAAGCAAATACCAAGTCCTACTTAAATTACAGGTTCATTGTAACAGGTGATTCACATTCTCCAAGCTCACTTTGTATAATATGTGATGACCCACTATCCAATGAAGCCATAAAACCTTCAGAACTGCTTCACCACATGAAGACCAAGCACCCTGCATTAAAGACAAGCCTCTGGAGTTTTCAAAAGCAAAAATGTGAACACAAAGAACAGAAGCAATTATTGAAGGCCATCACTTCATCAAATGTGTCTGCACTGAGAGCATCATTCTTAGTGGCTAACTGCACTGCTAAAGCTAGGAAGCCCTTTCCTATTGGTGAAGAGTTGATCCTGCCTGCTACTAAGGACATTTGTCGTGAACTTTTAGGAGAGGCTGCAGTTCAAAAGGTGGTACGTGTTTCTCTTTCGGCTAGCACGATGACTAGACAAATTGATGACATAGCAAAGGGTATTGAGGCACAACTTTTAGTAAGGATTAATGAGTCATGGTAAGCAATCAAGGTTGACGAGTCTACCGATATTGACAACAAGACAACAATGTTTTTGTGCAATATATTTTTCGGGAGGACGTGCATCAGGATATGTTATGTGCACTTTTGTTGCCAACCAAAACCCCAGCTGCAGAACTATTCAAGTCTTTGTAATTGTAATTGTAATTATAATGTTTGCTAATGTTTCAAACATTAGAGATTTTGAAAGAGACTAAACCGGAGCCTTCTTGAATGATCACCTATCTCAGCTTTCAAAGGAGTTTGAGCATTACTTCCCAACCACAAAAGACTCCCGAACTGGGAAGGAATGGATCCGTGACCCATTTGTGAATAAACCAGGTGAATTGACTTTATCTGTGCTAGAAGAGGATCAATTGCTTGGGACTGCAAATGATGGTGGCCTTACGAGTATGTTTGAGACATGTTCAGATCTCCATACGTTCTGGATTAAAGTCAAGGTGGAATGTCCTGAGATTGCCACAAAGACACTTAAAAGCCTGCTTCCACTTTCAACATCCTATCTTTGTGAAACAGGGGTCTGCAGTGACAGCAACCAAAACGAGATTACAGAATAGACCGGACATAAGCAACACACTTCAGGTGTCACTGTCTCTTAACCCCCAGATGAGACTGTCTAGTTGTAGGAAAACAAGTTCAGGGCTCCCACTGATTCTGCATTATGGTGAGTTGTACAATGATTTCATTATATATTACAATGCAATAGAAATAGAAATAAAGTGCACACTAAATATAATGCTCTTGAATCATCCTAAAATCATCCCCCTACCCTGGCCCCTTGGAAAAATTGTCTTCCATGAAATCAGTCCCTAATGCCAAAAAGGTTGGGGACTGCTGCTTTCAAAATTGTGTGGAATTTTTATCATGTGTACATAAAATCTACTCTGTAACATATTTTAAATATTTTCTTCAAATGGTGATTTTTAGACTACCCCTTCCTCTACTCACCCCTCTGTCATTTCTGAAGAAGCAATGATAATTCACTTAATAGTAAACTTATTTTCTATGGCTATTATCAGTAAGACAATAAGTGTTGATGAGGATGTGGAAAAGTGGGAACACTTTCTTGTATACTTGATGGGAAAGTAAAGTAGCACAGCCATTATGGAAAACAGGATGAAGATTTCTCAAAAAATTAAAAATAGAACTACAATATGCTTCAGCAATTCTACTTCTGGGTATGAATCCAAAAGGATTGAAGTCAAAGGGATATATGCAGTCTCACTGCAACATGACTCACAACAGCCACGGCGTGGAATCAACCCAATTGTCTATCATCGGATGAATGGATAAGAAATGTGGTATTATAGACACAATAGAATACTATTTGGCTATAAAAAAGAATGAAATTGTGTCCTTTGTGGTAGCATGGATGAACATGGAGGACATGATGGTAAGTAACATAAGCTACACACAGGAAGACAGGTGTGATCTCACTTACATGTGGAATCTAAAAATGTTGAACTCATTGAACATTGAAGCAGAGAGTAGAATGGTGGTTACCAGTGCCTTGTAGAGCTTAAGGGAGTGGGGATTTGGGAGGTGTTGATCAAACAATATATTATTTCTGTTAGAAGGAATAAGTTCAGGAGATCTATTGTACTATATGGTGACTGTAGCTTACACTACTGAATACCTGTTGTACTTGGGTACTTGCTGCATGCTTGAACATTGCTAAGAGAATAAACTTTAAATGTTCTCACCACAAAAAAATGATAAGTATATGATTGAACAAATACGTTAATCAACTTGATTTAGTCATCCCACAATGTATGTACACATATATCAAAACATGTTGGGTACCATAAATACAAAATTTTTATTTGTCAAAAAAAAGAAAGAAAACATACCTTCTAAATGGAAAGACACAAAAGTTAAGCGGACTATGGACAGAGAATCAGCCTCTATGACATATGTACAATTCATATTGTTGTCGTATTGTTTTGGGTAGTTTGGAGAAATGATGTATCCTGAAGGGCCTGTGAAATTACTTCCACATCCTATATGGGGACAAAAAAGAAGAGTCAGAACATGCATTCTTTCATGTAGTATCTATATTATCAAAACAAAAAATTTTTTAGGGATGTAATCCCCTGAGCTACTCCAAATGAAGGAAGCAATAACTAAGAGAATGAAGCTCTGATTTAAAAACAAATACACATGCACAGTAAGAGCATTATACATTTTAGAAAATGCTGGGGAGTTTTATGAGCTAAGTAGTAAAAAATATTATCACGAATCCACCGTAAATCCCTTAATACTAAGGTATTAAAAAGGACAAATTGGCAAAGATTGAATATGGTTCATGTAGATAGGTAAATAAAGCTGATTTTAAAATGATTTGCACCTGATTAGTATTTTATACACCTAATGCTTTAAATATACCTCATTATTAGAAAACTATGCTATTTTCATTACTATTGTTATCTGGCCTTAAGAACAATAATTGCTTTTAAAAAGTAGTTGAATTTACAAATCCCAACTCTTACCAAATTCTCACATAAATCCCTACTTCAGAAACAAAGAAAAATATGTTCTCAGCATTAAAATGACATTTGTTTTTATATAATCACTAATAAATTTCACTTCCTGATCTATCAGTTATAAAAAATATCTGTATCTTTTTATGCTGATATTAAAACACACCAGGTATACACAGACACAACAAACAACCTGCACACCTAGGATTAGGTCTGGGGTTGTCTTTCATTACTTTTCCACGAACCCTTTTTTTTTTCTTTTCTTTCAGACAGGGTCTTGCTCTATTCCCCAGACTAGAGAGCAGAGGTGCAATCATAGCTCACTGCAACCTCAAACTCCTGGACTCAAACCATTCTCCCGTGCCAGCTGAGTAGCTGGGACAATGGGCATGTGTCACCACCCTGAGTTGATTTAATTTTTTTTTAAATTTTGTAGCGACAGGGGCCTCACTATGTTACTCAGGCTGGTCTCAAACTCCTGGCCTTAAGTGATCCTCCTGCCTCAGTCACCCAAAGTGCTGGGATTGCAGGTGTGAGCTACCAGGCCCAGCCACCCATATTCTTTTATTCAGGCCTGAAATATCTATTTACAACATTATCTCCTCTAACTCCTTTCCTCAAACTTTCCCCAAACAGTGGTTTGCAATGAGTGGCTACTTGATTTCACTCAGCCAATAGACACACGTTATTGCTTCTCTGACTTAGAAATGCTACATTTCTCAGTAATCTAATTGTGTTCAGTAGTCAGAGAAGCAACTCGATCCTTCCTAATCCAAGTGGGGAAGGGAAAATTCCAAAGACAATGGCTCCCAAAGTTTACTGAGCACGAGAACTCTCGGGATGAGAGCTAAAATACACAAGTTAAAACGTCCACTCATGTTGTATACCGAACCTTGAATTGTACCCCTACACTTTTAAAATTAAATAAATAAATAAATAAATAAAAATCCACTCATGGATTCTGCATTCAGGCGGGTCTGGGGTGAGGCCCAGGAATCTGCATGTTTCCCAATACCCCGGGGAGATTATGATGCAGCTGGTCAAGGTGACCTAGGCCAGTTACACTATTTGTTTACTAATTACACAGCCACCTGAGTGTCTGCTGAATACCTGCCCCACTGTGGTTTCCAGGCTTATTTCTAGATGTTGGCTAGCGCCATTCATGCTTCTGTATCATTTCGAGTTGATCTATGGTTTAATTAAGTTCTATTCTCACTAATTTTCAAAGAAAGCGTGTTTTCTCAGGATCAGGTGACCCACCCGCGCTCTTCCCCTTAGACCCCCAGTTCCAGCCAACCCTCTCAAGAGTCTCCAGGTTTGGTTCTTAGGGCTACTTACGGCTTACAAAGGACGCAGAGAAGCCCTGAGCCGGCATCTCCTGAGACTGGAAGACGGCAGTGAACGCGTTTCTTGGTGTGATGACAGGACCGGGAGCCACGTTCCCACAGCTCGTGGCCAGCAGGGCCTTGTCGACCTCCTCAGTTCCTGCCCACACCTAGCAGGGTCACAAACATGACTTCATGCTCAAGGTTTTCCCCATTAGTACTGTAATGCATTTAGGTTTGAAAATAATGGTGCTCAGGTATATAGAGAACTAAACATACCAGTAAATAAGACATAGGCAAATCTGCAAGATTTTATTTTGAGAATAATTTTTTTAAGCTGCTTTTGAAATAGCCCATCCCATTCTTGATTTCTCTAAGGAGATTGTGTTCATTTTGTGTTTATCTTTTAAAAATCCCTTACTGTCCAGTTTCCTCTTAGCTTCTAGGTGACCTACGTGAGCTTGGTGGGTACTGAGGGAGAGCCACCTGCCGGGTAGGTCTGGTGGCACTCTCCACTGGGCCTGGGAGGATGACAAATTGTGGTCACAGCTAGAGAATATCACCAAGCAAGAAGTACATAGAAATTAACACATTGTGGAGCATGAAGAAAGTGTACGTGGATTTCAAATATACCTATAATTAGCACAGATTAGAAGATATCATAGAACACTTCTTGGCAGTGATGAGTTGTAAGATTCATTTAAAGAAAGGCTGAGATTCAGTCAGTATGGACTATTCACTAAAGACTGGGTTGGTGACTCCCAAGTAGACCAGGACTGCCATTAAATTGGTCTGGCTGCCTTTTTTTTCCATGGGGAAAAATATATATATTTATATTTGCTGAGGAATAAGGTGAGCATCAAAATTCCAAATCAAACCAATTGTCATCAGTCCCAGAAAAGGACAGAGACAGTAATCACAAAGTCAAAATTTAAATGCAGACTTCCAACTATGAAGCAAGTCTTTGTAATGGAGCCTTAGAGAGTGTATATAATAGATGGTCTTCACCAGACAGGGGCAAGATGTACCTTCCCTGAGGAAACACTGATGGCAGGAAGGGTTGTGGCCAGGTCAGAGTACACAGAGAAAACTGAGGAGTAAGGTGTAAGGGAGGCTGCAGAGGTCACCACAGGACATGGCAGAGATTTGAGGCTCTGTCCTGAACATGGTGAGTAACCACCCGTAGGTACGGTTTTGGGGAAAACATTACAACGTGGAGAGAGAATAAGAGTCAAAGAGAGGATGCCAGGGAACCGTTGGGAGGGTTTTGCCCTAATTTAGGTGAGAGATTATGCTACCTACAATGCTGAGACATTCAAGGCAAGAATGCATATTAGGTAATGAATATATGCAAATTAAGTAATGAATATATGCTATTAGGTAATGATTGTGCATACTTTGGAAAAAAATGATTAAACATGTTAAACAGGGAAGATCCCCTTAGTTCAGAGGGTCTCAACCAGGATCAATTTTGCCTTCCCTAAGGGACATTTGGCAATATTTATAGGCATTGTTTATTGTCACACTTGGTGTGGGGGCAGTATCTAGTGAGTAGGAGTCAGAGATGCTGTTAAACATCTTATCATGTCTAGGACACACACCTCCCCCAACTGAGAATCATGAGGTCAAAGGAGGTAACTGGGTACGTATTAGTCCTACTTGATTATTCAATATTTTCTTTATGTCAAATTACAAAAAATGACTCATTCCAAATATATTCTTTTTCAAGAATATTCCTCAAACAGAGCAATAAAACACCAAGTCATTAAAAACATCTCAACTGGGAAATCAGTCCCTAGAAAGAGGTGTGAAATAGCATTGACAATGTTTCTCAGCTCTTTAAAGCCACATCATTTCTGTTGATTTTCAAACACTCAGTGTCTAGCTGTTAATCATCTTAATGAAGACAAATTATATTTGCCATTTATTAGATATAGGAGGTGCCTGGCGCTGGAGCTACTGAGAACAAAAGTGTGAATATTCTGCCAAATATCAATAGAAAAATCAGGAAAGAAATGCCAATTCTATCTGATGAAATACCCCAATTCTATCTGATGATCTCTTTCTTTAAGTGCCCCCCTTTAATTAACTAACCAGAGGAACAGTATACAGAAGTTTTCTATACGCCTTTTATAAAATTATAAACATACTGAGAGATAACTATGTGCATATTCTATATTTTTATAAACATTATAGGCAAAGTGAGAAGAGTTAAAACTTAACAAAGAACTTCAAGTTCTTTAGTGAAGAACTTGGAGAAGGCTTAAGAACTTACACATTTTTTTTTTTTTTGAGTTGGCATCTCACTCTGTCGCCTAGGCTGGAGTAGAGTGGCACATTCAACGCCACTGAAGTCTCAACCTGCTGGGCTCAGGTGATCCACCTCAGCCTTCCAAGTAGCTGGAACTACAGACATGTTGCCACCACACCCAGCTAATTTTTTCATTTATTGTAGATACAAGGTCTCACCAAGTTTCCCAGGTTGGTCTTGAACCCCTGGGCTCAGGCAGTCTTCTCGCCTCTGCCTCCCAAAGTGCTGGGATTACAGGCGTGAACCATCACACCTGGCTTTTTCTAACATAATTAATTATGAATCTGCATTCTACCTTTTGGCCCAAGATCATAATCGTAATAATAACAAGGATGATGATGGTGATTATAATGGGAAATAGTTGTTCAACATTCATTGCTAACTTGTCAGTCAAGAGTTCATTTCATGGGCTATATTTATGATCCAGGACTCATCATTACTATATTGAATCTGCAAACTGTTGCTAAATTAATAGGTCAAAAATTTTCTGAATTTTCTTAACGTTTTGCATAATTCAGTCTGGTTATAGGCTTTATTTTATCTTTTTTTAAAAAAATGCTTATTGACGTAATTGCAGACCCACATGCATCTGTAAGACATGATACAGAGAAATTTCTTATACACATTTCTCATTTGACATCTTGCAAAACTATGGTATAATATCACAACCAGGGTATTGACGTAGACACAATCCACCAATCTTATTTAATTTCCTAGTTTTACTTCTTGTCATGTGTGTGTGCATATTAAGTTGTATACAACCCTATTAAAGATATTGGACGGTGTCAGTGCCATAAGATCCCTGGAGCTGCTCTTTTATGACTACACATAATTTATTCCCATATCCCCATCACTCTAGCGTCTGGCTATCTGTCCTCCATTTCTAAAACACTGTCATTTCAAAATATTATATAAATGAAGCAGTATGTAACCTTTGGGGATTGTCTTTTTTTTACTCAGCATAATTCCCTGGTAGTCTGTCCAAACTGTTAGTCTATCAACAGTTTGTTTTTATTGAGAAGGGTTATTCCAAAGTATATATGTACCACAATTTGCTTAACCATTCATCTGGTGAGGCAGTGATTTCAGTCGCTGACTATTACAAAAAATGCTTTTATGTCTATACATTTGCATACAGGTTTTTGTGTAAATATAGTTTTTATTTCTCTGTAATAAATGCCCAAGAATGCAATCGTCAGATCTTATGGTACATGCATGTTTAGTTTTGTAAGAAACTGCCAAACTATTTTTACTCTAGAGTGGCTGTATCAACTCATAGAGGCAATAGGTAGGCGACAGCTTCTCAACATCCTTGCCAGCATTTTGTGTCATCACTGTTTTTTATTTTAGTTTATGATAGGTATGTAATGATAACCCAATGTGGTTTTAATCCATACTTTTCCAACAGCTTATGATGCTAACTATCTTTTCATGTGTTTACCATCTGTATATTCCTTTGACGGAATATCCATTCATGTCTTTTGCCCATATTCTCATTGGATTGTTTGAATGTTTACTGTTGAGTTTTTATATTTATATATTCTAGATAGTAGTCCATTGTCAGATGTGTGATTTGTAAACATTTTCTTCTAATCCATAGGTTGCCCTTTCATTTTCTTCCCATAGGCATTAATAGAGCAAAAGATTTTTCATTTAGATGCGGTGAAATGTATCAATTTTTAAAAAATGGATCATTATTTTGGTGTTTAGTCTAAGAATCTCTAGGTACCGGAGATGTCTAATTTTTTCTCTAAAAGTTTTATGTTTTATATTTAAGTCTAGCATCTATTTTGAGTTAAATTTTGTATAAGATGTGAGGTTTAGGCTGAGGTTCATATATTTTTGCCTGTGGATATTCAATTGCTCTAGCTCCATTTGTTGAAGACATTCTTTTTTCTGCATTGGATAGTTTTGACACCTTTGTCAAAAATCAGCTGTTCATGTTTGCTAGTCTATTTCTACATTCTCTGTTTTGATCTGGATTCTCACCCAATAGCATACTGTTTCAATTATTGTAACTATGTAGTAAACCTAGATACATAGTAAGGTAGAATTCTTTGTCCTATTTTATTCATTTCCAAGATTCTTTTAGCTATCAAAGGATTTGTGTTTTTCCATAAAAATTTTACAAAAAAGTTTGTTTATGTCTACAAAAGACATCACACAGATTTTGATAGGAATTGTATTAAACTTACATATCATTTTAGGGAAGCATGACATCTTTACTATGTTAGGTCTTCCAATTCATAAACATGATTGTCTCTTCAATTTAGGTCTTCATCAGTATTTGGTTATTTTTAGCACACAGATCCTGCACACATTTGTTTGGGGTTCACTTGGCAATGAGACCATCCCTACCTCTATGCTGATCCACCTGACCAGGTACTGCTCCTGGGGGAAGAATGAAAGACCAAGGGAGCCAAAGCAAGAGTATAAGCCTCTTGTTTTTACCGATGTAAAAAATAATTAAAGGACTGTTTTAATTGACTACTCAGATAGTTGGCAGCTGAGTTCTCTCCAGCTGAGTTCAGTGCTTGGAAAGATACTTTCTGTTATTGTGTTTCTTTTTAAGCTGTATTTAAAATAGTCAAAGAACACATTTTATATTTCAATTATTTAACTGTGTTGAGGTCTTTGGGTGTCTCAGGATATGGTCTACCTTGGACTGTTACAAGGGCTCCTAAAAATGTGTATTCTGCTTCTGCTGTGTAGTATATTCTGTCTATGTCAATTAGGTCCCACTGGTTGATGGTTTTGTAGAGTTCTATATCCTTGCTGATAATCTGTCTAGTAGTTGTACCAGTTGCTGAGAGGAGAGTGTTGAAGTCTTTAGCTGTAACTGAAGATGTATCCACTCCCCTTCTTCATGTACTTTGCGGCTCTGTTGTTTGGTGCATATACATTTAGGATCACTGTGCTTTCCTGGTGGATTGATCTTTTTATCATTATGTAAGATCTCTCTTTTTCTATAGCAATTTTCTATACTCTGAAGTCAACTTTATCAGACGTAAGTATAGCTACTCTTACTTTTTTTAAATGAATGTTTGCATGCTGTACTTTTTTCATTCTTTTAATTTCAACCTACCAATGTGGTTGAATTTGAAGTTAATATATTGTCACTTGGGTCATGTTTTGGTCTGATAATCTGCCTTTTGATGGGTGTAAGTAAACTATAATTAAGATATTGATATATAAGTGTTATGTCTCCATTTTATTTGTTCTCGAATTTCTCTGCTTTTTTGGTCATCTGTTTCTCTTTCCTTAACTTTCTAGGTATTCCGTTTTGATTGATATTCAGTGCTTTTGTGTACATATCTTCATACAGTTTTGGTAGTGGTTGTTTTTGGTGATACAATACAATATATGTGATTATGGCAGTCTACTGGCATCCATATTTGACTCCGATGAGTGAAATGTATAAACCTGATTTTCATTTAGGTCTCTTTATAGTACCAACTTTTTAATATCATTGTATTGAGTATCAGAGGACATTATAGCTTTTTGTTTTATTAAATATAATTCATAAAGCCTATGAGAAAAGGAATATTCTATTATATGTAGACATATTTTTGCTCTTTCCACATTCCTTTTTCCTTTCCGATGAGTCAAGATTCTTTCTTGTATAATTTCATTTTTGACTGAAAAATTTCCATTTGACAATCTTTAATGGTAGGTCTTCTAGCGACAATGTCTTTTCGTTTTCCTTATGTGAGAAGTTTTTATTTCTTCTATATTCCTGAAGGATAATTTTTCAGATATAAAACTTATGATTGGCAAATCCTTTATTTCAGTACTTGAAAAATATAGCGTCACTTTCTTATGGCCTCAATGATTTTAGATGAGAAATCTGCTTTCACTCAAAGTTGTCTTCCCCTCTAGGTAATATCTAAATGCTCTCTTACTGCTTTCAAGATTTTTGGTTTATCTTAAATGTTCAAAAGTTTAATTATGATGTGTCTTGGCTTGGATTTCTCTGTGTTTATCCTTATGTTCACTCAGCCTTTTGAATCTGTAGGTGTGTGTCTTTTGCTAAATTTGAGGATGTTTATAACCATTAATAAGTATATATTTTTGAGTTGGAGTCTCACTCTGTTGCCCAGGCTGGAGTGCAGTGGCACGTTCACAGTCACGTAGCCTCGACCTGCTGGACTCAGGTGATCCTTCTGTCTCATCCTTCCAAGTAGCTTGAACAGGCATGTGCCACCATGCCCAGCTAATTTTTTTTTAATTGTAGAGATGAGGTCTCACCAAGTTGCCCAGGCTGGTCTCGAACCTGTGGGCTAAGGCAATCCTCTCACCTCGGCCTCCCATAGTGCTGGGATTATAGATGCGAGCTACCATGTCCGGTCAACAACCATTAATATTTTACTCACTTGTCTGCACTCTCTCTTCTCCTTCTAGGAAAATGTTGGCTCTTTTGTTATTGTCCATGGGTCCTAAGGCTTTGTTCATTTTTCTTTTAGTCTATTTTCTCTTTATTGTTCAGATTGAATTCAATTGTTCTGTACTCAAGTTTATTGAGTCTATTCTCTGTTATCTCCACTCTACTATTGTGCCTATTCAGCAAGTTTTTTTAATCTCTGTTATTGTATTTTTCAGTTCTATAATTGCCATTTAGTTATTTACTATAACTTATTTCTTTGCTAAGATATTCAGCTTTTTGTTTCATGATAATGTGTCATGATTGTTGAAGCATTTTTATGACAGCTACTTCAACATCTTTCTCATGTAATTCCAATATCTGATTTATCTGTGTTGACAACATTTGATTTTTTTTTTTCTCACTCATGTGACATTCTTGGTTCTTGGTATGATGGGTTCCTTTTGACTGTATCCTGGAATTTTTTTTTATTATGTTAGGAGACTCTAGTCACTATTAAATAATTAATTTATTTTTGAGGTGGAGCCTCACTCTGTTGCCCAGGTTGAAGTGCGGTGGCACAATCATGGCTCACCACATCCTCGATCTCCTGGGCTTTGGTGATCCTTCTGCCTCAGCCTCCTGAGTAGCTGGGACTATAGGCACATGCCACTATACCCGGAAAATTGTTTAATTTTTTTTTTTTTTTTTGTAGAGACAAGGTCTCACTATGTTGTCCAGGCTGATATCGAACTCCTGAGCTCAAGCAATCCTCCCACCTCAGTCTCCCAAAGTACTGGCATTACAGGCATGAGCCACCACACCCAGCCTCTATAGTCCCTATTTAAATTGTTCATTTTAGCAGGCAGTCACCCTGTTATATTTACCATGAGGTCTTGCCAACTTTTGTAGTCTGTGGTTTCTAGGGATCTTCAATTTTCAGAATCTTTGTGGTATAATTTTGGTCTATTTGGTTGATGTAGTGTTGCTGAGGCTCTCAGTAGTTCTTGCTGGCACCACCTGAGGGAATGGAGGGTGCATCACCTGCGTGGGCCTCTGTGTGTTTCTCAATTGGAGGTGAAAAATATAGTAGGCCGAATTCCTCTACCAATGCCCCCCAGGCATCTCAGTGTCTTTGGGTGGAGGAGGAACATGTCTGACTTGTAGGTATAAAAAGACTTCCTAGATCAAGTCACTTGTTATGACTGTATCCTTTTTGCCAATTCTGCTTATTAGCTCCAGTTCATCTGGGATGAGACTCTGGAAAGAGAGTCTTAGCCCCATGAAGATAAGGCTTTTCAGAATGGGTCAATTTTTGTGACTAGGTCCCTTTTATCCAGTACCAACTAGGTCCCTTTTATCCAGTAGCAACTGCCCTAGTATCTCCGGACTGGTAAAGACTGTCAGGCACTAAGGGGCTTCCCACATCTGGCTGCCTGCTATGACTGGTCATTCTCCTAGCTCTGCCCACCCACACGGTATCTTTTGGTAGAAACAGGAGTCTGTGTTCCAGCAGGGGGGCGAAAAAGTGCTTTCCCTGACCACTTATTATTGGTAAGATTCCCAATAGATACCACTTGCCAGTGGTTTTGGGCTTGCCTGACGTTGTCAGAGGGACTCCCATTGGATCCAGAGGAGGAATGAGCCCATGTCGTTTTACACATTCCATTTTTACTTTGGAGAACTTTCAAGGCTCTATTTAAGTCTGAGCACTTGCTATTGATTCATTTCATTAGAAGAGAGTTGGTTTATTTCATAGAAAAAGCAATTAGAAAAAGTGTATATTAAATGTTTTATTATTTACATATTTTATATGAGATTTTCATTTAAACAGTAAGCATAGCTTAATGAAACATATAACATAATTCAAGAGATGATATGAAATAATATGACACTAAAAGCCACTCTCTGCTTTAGGTAATTTCATATTCCAAGTACTTAGCAGTACTTATGTGATTATATTACCTCTAGTGCTTAAAAACAGCCCTACTAAAGTAGGAATCATGCTCTTCATTTTATATTTGAATAATCTGAAGCTCACATTTTCAACTAACCCACAGAAAGACATGCAGGTGGTACAGAAAGAGAACCTTGCTAATTTCCCCTTTGCCATCATTTTTACACGGGTCTCTCATGGTCTTTTCAACCAGTGAGCGTTTAAAGTCCAGAAGGCTGGCATTAGCTTCTTCTCCAACCTTCTCTGATGTTTGTGACATACTTTAAATTTTTCCTGTGATAGTGCCCTACATTGCAAAGGGTATTTTTCCTTCAGAACCTAGTAGGAAAGGAAGAAAGAAAGAAAGAAAGAAAAAGCAAAAAGAACAAAACAAAACTGGCATTCTCCCCTTAGTTTTAGTTTTCACAGGAAGAAAGAACCACAAATGCTCATGAGAATTTAGTAAGGCCAGAGAATAATCTCATCAACTGAGTGACTTTGCCTAGGTATATAAATGAAAAACCACAGAGAAATATGTGTTATGGTTTAAATCCTAACTCCTAACAGTTGAGGTTTCTCATTTTTTCATCCAAGAAATCCAAGCAGAAACATTGTCTTTTTCCTACTTTGAGAAATGAGTCATTTCTAGCTTAAACGTTTATTATATTTGTGAAACCAGTTTGGCTCCAGTTAAATAAACACATGTACTCACCTTCACGAAGCTGTTCTGACATTGTCCATCACCACTGGGGATCTGGAAGTTGTTGTCAAAGCTGATCTCCAAGTGATTACTTTTGTGGGCAATGACTGTCCAGGAACATCGGCTGTTTTCGGGAAAATTCTGAGGCCAGTGAGGAGATGTGATTGTACCATTATCTGAATGAAATATTCCACCACAACCTGAAATATTGTCAAGTAAAAAAGTCATCAGTCTGCAAGGACATTAACAATGTGGGAAACTCAAGACCACTAGAGAAGAAACTTTTCCGAACGTGAGATTTCAGTTCATCTTTCCTTACAAGTAACTCACATTCAGGGCAGGTGCCCAGCAAGATCTCTCAGTAAATGCAAGGATGAATCCAGAGGAAATTTCAGCTGTTGCAATTGTGTTGCAGTGATACTAAACTCAGCTGAGACCACTAATCCTTTCCATAATGAGGAGAGACATGGATCCTCTCTTCAAACAACGGCAATATTTTTTATTCTCCTTGAGGCTATGTAGTATATGTAGCCTGGCAATGCCAAATTTTGTATTTTATTGCCATTAAGACATGCTAGTACAACTCTATAGTCAGCAATTTTACTCTAACATACCGGACAAGAGAAGGTGATTTTGAGTTGGAAAAAAATTCTTCCATTAAGTAAATCTGGCTCATTCATATATTAAATGACTGATAGATAAAAATAAATGGCATAGGCCAAGCACGGTGACTCAAGCCTGTAATTCCAGTAATTCCAGTACTTTGGGAGGCTGCGGTGAGAGGATTGCCTGAGCCCACGGGTTCAAGAACAGCTTGGGCAATATGGCGAGACCTCATCTCTACAATAAATTTTTAAAAATTAGCTGGGAGTGAAGTGCATGCCTGTAGTTCCAGTTCCTTGGAAGGCTGAGGTGGAAGGATTGCGGGAGCCCAGCAGGTCGATCCTGGGGTGGCAGTGAACGTGCCACTAGAGGCAATAGAGACTCCAACTCAATAAATAAAAATAAATTACATAGACTCCAACTCAATAAATAAAAATAAATTACATAGATTAAAAAAAGAAAAATACAGAATTATTTTCTTACTGTTAAAATCTGTACTTAAGAGATGACAAAGAAAACTATGAACTCAAAACAAAGTGAAGCTAAGTTAAAGAGACATCCTCTGAATCTTTTGCTGTTAAATCCTTGGAAATCAGTGATTCATCTAAAACTCCTTTCCGATTTCTACAGCAGCCAGTGGTTTTTAATGAGGGAAAGTTTGATTCATTCTGCAAAGAGTTTCATAATAGCCGTGACTCTACTAGAAAGAATTATCTCATTTACTGAAATCCTGAATAACATATCTGATATAAGTCCTTATGTGTTTTGAGAATTTTTACAAGGTTTATATCTAATATGCACAGAAGCTACTCTTTTAAAATCAAATCTGTGATATTTTTATTTACTGCCCACGTACTACAACATTTGTTCTAATGCACAAATCTCATCTTATCACCTTCCTCCTCCAAACTCTTCAATAACTCCCCATTGTTCAGGGGATAATACATGAATCAGGCTCTTCCTGATAGGAGCTTGTTTTTTTCTGCCCTCAGCCCACTCAGTGTTCTGCCTCAAATATTTTAAACTACTTGTGATTCCAATACTTCTTTCTGTCACTTGAGATTCCCTGGTTGCACCATGTCCCTTTGCCTATATAGGCAGCACTGCATCATGAAGTGTTAAGATCAAAGTTTTGGCCGGGCACAGTGGCTCAAGCCTGTAATCCCAACACTTTGGGAGGTTGGGGTGAGGGGATTGCCAGAGCTTGTGGGTTGAAGACCAGCCTGGGCAACATGGTGAGACCTCGTCTATATAGTAAATCAAAAAATTAGTCAAGCATGGTAGCACACCCCTGTAGTCCCTGTAGTTCTGGCTACTTGGAAGGCTGAGGTGAAAGGGTCGCTGGAGCCCAGCAGGTCAACGCTGGGGTGGCCGTGAGCATGCCACTGCACTCCAGTCTGAGCGACAGAGTGAGACTCCGACTCAGAAAAAAAGATCAATTTCTGTGTTTGACTGCCTTTATTCAAATTCTGGCTCTATCAGTTATCAGCTATATGTCCTGGGCAAAATTATCAACCCGGGTATTTTCAGTTTCTGCTCATGCAGAGCAGAGACGATGGAGATGATATGTATTGAGACTGTGTTATCCTTTCAAATTGCTACATGAGATGATATGTGCCAGTATTTAGAATTGAGCTCAACATAAAATAGGTAAAAATGTATATATTTTAAGTTAGCCAATACATTAGGAAATACATCACTGAAAACGAATGCAGAGAATCTTTCTTTTACCTGAAGTTTGTGTGCTCCATGTAGCATAAAATCCACCACCTTCCAGTGACCGGTCTGAGTTAAAAATCACCACAAGCTGATTGGAACCAGACTGGATTGTCCTGGGGTTTGAACTTCCGCAGTACTGTCCTATTATGGGTGATCCAGGGGAGCCACCATTCCGGACAGTGACAGAGTCCCAAGCACATACGGTATGGGGTTCAAGATCAAAGTCACTAAATGTAAGCTGAAGGAGAAAAAAGAAATAACAAGGCACTCCAAGTTGTGAGTGAACTTCTCTACCTTGAGGTAGACAAGGCCCTCATAAATCCTTTTCTTTTGTTTTAATATATATTGTTCTACTTTTGTCTCTTATTTAATTCTCCCTTCCCCACTGCTCTTTCTCCTTATTGAAGATTCTCTTGGAAATGTTGAGAGGGGATTTTTCTCCAGGAAGTGGAATCATTAGGGGACCCTCATCAGTCCCCTTGGCTGGGATGGCAACTTGTCTCAAGAACATAAATACACCTCTCTCCTAACTGTAGAATTATCTTCCAATACAGCTTCTCCTATGCTTACAAAGAGATTTCATTCTTCATTAACTGTAGACTTGTAGATGCCAATGTATATGTGCTAATGAAAGAATTTTAGAGACAAATAGTGATCCATTACGAGATGAAAGCCTTCCCTCTTCACTTTCTTGCTAAAAGAACTCCATTTCTGTGGAGGACGTGGTATTGTTATTCTATAGTCTCAGAAGTGTTTCAACCAGTCGTTAAAACTCACAGTGATGGTGTGCCCTTGTGGGGCTTCCAACAACCAAGAGCAGTGGGTCAAGCTGTCATAAGACTCTGGATAGTTGGGACTTGTGATCACTCCACTCTCACCCATCTGTATTCCACCGCAATCTGAAATGAGATTTGTAACTCTCTAGACAAGATATAAGAGAGAGGAAAAAAAAACAACCCTGCAAATCCAAAGTAGTACTGAGAGCCATCATATTTTGTGATTAAACAATAAATCACAAATAAATGAAATTGGGCAGCAAAGTAAAACTGGGTGGAAAATTAGAAAAAACAGAATTCCATGTAGTGCTAATTAAACCAAATACATATTGAAGACAGACTCAAGTTTAGTACAAAGGAGAAGGAAGATAATCTGTACCATTAACAGAGGATAATTAGATATGTGTATTACTAGATATATATAAATGCACAGGGGACAAAGTAAATAATACTGACTTTCTTGAAAAAACTAGGCTGGTAAAAACAAAGGTAAGCTGGAAGGATATGATTAGTACCATAATTAAACACTTTGTCATTTGATGATAAGTATTCAGCTACAGTCAGCTATCAAATCATGCATTTGCATAGGAAATTGAAAATGGATACATTTCTAAAGCATAGTATGGCTGATGTTCAACACAAATAGTACTGTTTCCTAAAACCTGACCTTTGACTTTCAATATGATAAAAAAAAAAAAAATCAACTGGCAAGATGGTTGAGTGAGTAGATAAGAATCAATTTCATTCCTTCCTTCAACCGGCCGTTTGGATATAACACAAAGAAAAGTTAAATAAAACTGTAGATAAAACATAAATTTTGATTCACAGCCAAACTCAATGGAAAGAAGAGAGGATTTCCAAAATCTATAAGCAACAAATGTACTCAAACTCAGAGGAGTAGAACTGAAAGTATGGCAGTCTGAAAGAATAAAAAACTAAGGTGTGAGGCCAGTTGTGGTGGTTCATGCCTATAATACCAGCACTTTGGGAGGCCAAGGTGAGAGAATTGCTTGAGCCCAGGAGTTTGAGGCCAGCCTGGGTAACATAGCAAGATCTTGTCTCTACAAAAAATTTAAAAATTAGCTGGGCATGGGGGTGTGCATCTGTAGTCCCAGCTATTTGGGAGGCTGAAGCAGAAGAATCTGAGCCAAGGAGGTTGAAGCTGTGCTGAGTTGTGATCATACCACTGCACTCTAGCCTGGGCAACAGAGTGAGACCCTGAGTAAAAAAAAAAGAAAAAAAAAAATCCATCATATTAGTGAAAAAGGACAAGAAAACCTCCAGTAGACAAAGCAAGCAGCAAGGAGTAGGGCTGAATTTTCAGGTACAAATTCTGAAAGTCACAGATGCAAATACAATACGAGACGTTAGCAAATAATATCCAGTAATATGTATAAAACACACATCATAATAAGTAGAGTTTATCCTAAAAATGCAAGCATGGTTTACCAAGATTTAAAAAAAAATACAAAAAACTTTCAATATAGTTTTTCACATTCACATATGTAAGGAGAAAAAATAGGATCATCTCAATAGATGTGGAAATTCACTTGATAAAATCTTATACCTATTCACATTTTTTTGGGGGGGGGGTTGGAGTCTCACTCGGTCGCCCAGTCTGGAGTGCAGTGGATGCTCCTGGTCACCGCAGCCTCGACCTGCTGGGCTCCAGCGATCCTTCCGCCTCCTTCCGAGTAGCCGGAATTACAGGCATGCGCTACCACGCCCGGCTGATTTTTTGGATTTATTGTAGAGATGAGGTCTCCCTGCCCAGGCGGGTCTCGAACCCACGGGCTCAGGCAATCCACTCACCTCAGCCTCCCAAAGGCGCGGGATTACAGGCTGAGCCACCGAGCCCGGCTACCTATTCACATTTTAAAAAAAATTTTGTATACTAGGAATTGAAGAAACTTTCATCTGTCAAAAATTATTTATTGGAAACCTCAGAACAACCAGTATATTTAACAATGAAATGTCATAACATGTACATTCAGGTCGGAAACAAGATGCTATCATTCCTTCTATTCAGTATTATGAAGGTGGCTCTAGTTAGTGAAATAAGGCAAAAAAAAAAAAAAAAAAGTGTTGGGGCTGAAAGAAAAAGGACTAGCATCAGCAGAAGGCACAGAAAAAACCAAAGAGAATCTATAGGCAAATATTAAGACACATACAATTATAGCCAGATCTCTGGACTAAAGATAAATGTATAAAAATTATAGAATTCCTAGTTATCAGGCACAACCAATTAAAAAATGCAATTTAGAAAATCTCATTGACATTAGTAACAAACAAAATGAATAGCTACCTAGAAACAAATCCCACAAAATAATCAAAATGTCAGATATTTATGAAATAATTATAAAACTTTATCAATTATTTTACTGAGATCTTAGTCATAATTCTTACCCGTAAAGGAATACTCTGCATGGAATCCAACATGTTCTACATGTTCATTGGTGACAAAGTGTATCCACACCTGAGGATAAGGTATAACCAGCGGCACTGTAGGTTTTGAAGAGCCACAAAGTCTCCACATCAGGGGTCCATCAGCATCACCTGAACAAAATAATACACCAAATGCCATTATTCATAGCACTTTTAAAAAAGATATTCAATGAATTTAGTAGAAACAAATTTCAAGGTATTCATTGCTGCACATTTACATTCTGATTTAGTAGCAGACTGCACAAAGTCCCTTTATCTTTGTTAAGTGCAAAAAAAAAAAGAATCTCTCCAACAAGGTAAAACAAAACAAAACAAAAAAATGATACTTCGATATGAATCTCTCTCTGTTGTAGGTGCCATTTTGTTCCAATTTGTGTTTTCATAATTATTTCAGTATATCTAAACAGAGAGACAATTAATAACACTGTTGGGCATTTTCCCCCCCCTAAGGAGTAAGAAATATAATACCAACAGTGACAAAATATATCCTCAAGATAAAGTGTTATTGCCTAACATTTACAGATTTCCTCACTGTAGTCAGTCAACTAAAATGAACACAATATTCAGCATTCAGGCCAAGAACTGCCAGATTTGAGCTTAATATTTTTTATGAAAATTACTTTCCACAGAAATTTTATTAACATTTATAGAGTACCTAAAGAGCTCACATTTGTCTATTCTCTATTTATTCTGTCAGATATACATCACTGACCTTCTAAAGCAATGACATATAGTATTTTAACTGTCTCCAAATCTGAGTGAATAAAGAGAAGACTGTATTTCACTAATATTCGATAGTTGTTCTGCTTGAATCTATAAGCCAGTGGTTTTGAACCTGGTAGAAACGGTGAGAGTTACCAGAATTCCAGGGAGAAGATCCTCAAACCACATCTTTCATTTCTCTCATAAGCCTTTTCTAGATTCATGAGCCTCAGAGAGCTGGTATGACTCTCTTGCTGAGGACTTTAGTCTGTGACTAAAGACTATATCAAATTTTCCTTCTTAAAAATTCTGTCTTCCATGTTCTCAAAAGTCTGTCTTCCATGATTTCTATAGTTGTTCAAGAAGATCTCCACCAACTAATTAACTTCTGCTGCTTTCAACCTCTTTTTCTTTAAATTTTGGGATTGATATGGCACTCAGCAAAATGTTGATAATATAAATTGTCTACAATACTATTTTCCTCCTTCATCTACTCATTTATTTATTGAGAAAAAGATGTCAATGTAACATGGGGAGCAAGCTAATGAATAATCCATGCTTTGACTATGGAACAGAACCAAATTAAAGCCTCTGGATACAAAAGCAATGACCAAAAAACAGTTGTATTTCTATATACCAACAACAAACAGGCCGATAAATAAAAACCACAATCTCATTTACAATAGCCATAAACAAATAAAATACCTCGGCATCCATCTAACCAAAGAGGTGAAAGACCTTTACAATGAAAACACAAAAGACTGCTCAAAGAAATCAAAGATGACACAAACAAATGGAAGAACATCCCATGCTCATGAACTGGAAGAATAAATATCATCAAGATGTCCATTCTAGCCGGGCTCGGTGGCTCAGCCTGTAATCCCGCGCCTTTGGGAGGCTGAGGTGAGTGGATTGCCTGAGCTCGCAGGTTCGAGACCCACCTGGGCAGCGAGACCTCATCTCTACAATAAATCAAAAAATCAGCTGGGTGTGGTAGCGCATGCCTGTAATTCCGACTACTTGGAAGGCTGAGGCGGAAGGATTGCCGGAGCCCAGCAATTTGAGGCTGCGGTGGCCGGGAACGGCCACTGCACTCCAGTCTGGGCGACAGAGTGAGACTCTAACTCAAAAAAAAAAAAGATGCCCATTCTATCCAAGGCAATCTATAGATTCAATGCAATCCCTATCAAATTACCAGCATCATTTTTTACAGACCTAGGAAAGGTAATACAAAAATTCATATGGAAGCAAAAAAGAGCACAAATAACTAAAGTAATTCTCCGCAAAAAAGTACAAAGCTGGAGGTATTACACCACCAGACTTCAAACTTTACTACAAGCCTGCAGTAATCAAGACAGTCTGGTACTGGTACAAAAATAACACATAGACCAATGGAACAGGACAGAAAATTCAAAAATTAAACCACCAGTCTTGAACTAACTCATCTTTGACAAAGCCAACAAAAACAAGCATTGCAGAAAGAAAACCCTATTTAGTAAATGGTACTGAGAAAACTGGCTAACCACATGCAGAAGAATGAAACTGGACCTCTACCTACCATCATATACAAAAATAACCTCAAAATCAATCGAGGACTTAAATATGAAACCTCAGACTGTAATAACCTTAGAAGAAAACTTAGAGAACACCCTTCTGGACATCAACCTAGGCAATAAATTCACAGCCAAGTCCTCAAAAGCAAATAAAGTAAAATCTAAAATTGACAGGTGGGAATTAATCAAGCTAAAAATTTTTTGCATAGCAAATCAAGAAAGTAAAGAGACAACTCACGGAATGAGAAAAAAATATTTTTGCAGTATGCATCCAACAAAGGCCTAACATTCAGGATCTATAAAGAACTCAAATGAATTGACAGGAAAAATAACGAATAGCCCAACAGAAAAGTGGGGTGGGGGAATGGACAAAGGACATGAACAGACACTTCTCAAGGGAAGACATCTAAGCAGTCAACAAACTATGAAAAAATGCTCACCTTCACTACTTATCAGAGAAATGCAAACCAAAACCACCATGAGATATCACCTCATACCAGTCAGGATGGCCACCATTAAAAAGTCAAAACCAACAGGTGTTAGTGAGGCTGTGGAGAAAAGGGAATGCTTCTACACTGTTGGTGAGAATGTAAGCTAGTTCAACGTTTGTGAAAAGCAGCATAGCATTTTCTCAAAGAACTAAAAATCGAGTCACCATATGACCCAGTAATCCCACCTCTGGGAATAAGCCCAGAGGAGCACAAATCATTCTACCAAAAAGACACCTGTCATACCTATGTTTATTGGAGCACTATTCACAATAGTAAAAAACAGAACCAACTCAGATGCCCATCGAAAGTGGAGTGGATAGAGAAAATGTGATACATATATATGATGAAATACTGTGCAGCTATAAAGAAGAACAAAATCATGTCCTTTGCAGCGACATGGATGCAGTTGGAGACCATCATTCTAAGTGAACTATCATAGAAACAAAAAACTGAATACTGCATGTTCTCACTCATAAGTGAGCCCTAAACATTGAGGACATGAGCACAGAGGCAGGAACAGCAAATGCTGGGCACTGCCAAAGTGGGGAGGGAGGGAGCAAAGGACGATAAGGGGCACACAACCACCCATTGAGTACCAGGTCCACTATAGGGGAGAGCTGGCTCACTAGAGGCCCAAACCTCACCTGCATTCAATTTACTTATGTAGTAAATCTTCATATGTACCCCACAATGCTGAAATTTTCCTCACAAAAAAAAAAAGAACCAAAAGTGATCAATTTTCCATGAATAGAGAGTTTTTAAGATTCTTTTTTTTTTTTTTTGAGTTGGAGTCTTATTCCATCACCCAGGCTAGAGTGCAGGGGTACCCTCACGGCCACCCCAGCATTGACCTGTTGAGTTCCAGTGATTCTTCTGCCTCAGTCTTCCAAGTAGCCAGAACTATAGGCATGCGCTACCACACTCGATTAATTTTTTTGATGTATTGTATGTTGTATTGTATGTTGCCCAGGCTGGTCTCAAACCCATGGGCTCAGGCAATCCTCTTGCCTTGGCCTCCCAAAGTGCTGGGATTACAGGTTTGAGTCACTGCGCCCGGGTGAGTTTTTAAGACTCTTAAGAGAATGATGGCTTACCAAGTACACCTCAATTCTTTTCTATTACAAAAACCAAGACAAACTTGACTGCTTTGGGGTTAATTCCCCAAATGGCTTCCCCATATGCTTCTCCATCTAGTTTGTTGCAAAACTTCTTTTAACTTCTAAGGCCTAAGTAGAATTTCACAGCCCCTTTGTAAATCCTATAAGTTCAGGAAACTGCCAACCCATGCTGACCATCCAAAGTTCCAGTCTCCTACAAAAGGAGTCATGATAGTAGGGATAACTGAAGAGAGCAAGACAAGCCGGACTCTCCCCTGAGGAAATCTCCCACACTGGGAAGCCAAGCATTTGTGATGCAAGGTCTGGTTGTGAACAGTGATCTGCCACACTCACTGGCCCCAGCACACACACAGAAATCTGACTTTCTTTGAACAAAGTTCCTTTGGATCTTGAATGCCAACATTATGGCCATTTGACCCTTCATTGTTGGTGGTTTCCAGGCATAAGAAGAATACTGCAGCTATAGGAGAGAAAGTGTTCTTTGATTGAACTCACCCACTCGAAACTCAAGGACATCAAACTGACAGTCTTGGTGACTTTCTAGGTTAAAATCTTCAAAATGAATGTAAATGGATGAATTGCCCTCATTCGGATTGCTGAGAGTCCATTCGCAGTTTAGGTTTCTTGAGTAATTACTGATTCCATTATAGCCAGGAGAAGTAAAGTTTCCTTCAGAGTCATTTGGAAGAGACCCACCACACACTAAGAAATCAAAAGGCAACAGAGAAAGAGGTAGTAAGATTCAAGCCATACAGAAAACACGCACCTCCAGCCAGAACCAGGAATTAAAATAACAACAGCATTATTGCTTTGATGTGGTTTTCTAGATACAGTCAGGATTGTGGGTAAAGAGCATGAAACTACGGAAGTTTCTGTGAGTTTATAAATGAAAAATGTGCAAAAATTAATCACTTTTTAATTCCTCCGTTGGTGTAGATCGGGTGGCTGAAATTTGGCTGTGTATCAATATCTCCAAATTTGGGACTATTGCTCATTAATATTTAATTTAGAGGAATACCCAAATAAAATGATGAAATATTCAGTGGCTTCTGATGAGCAATCTTCCACCTGATCCAATAATTTTATTGGATCAAACATAATATAATACTGAAGTGCCAATGAATTTGCCCCTTTTCATAAGGGAACAGGTGCTTCTTGTACCAATGACATAGCTTAGTGTCACTGATTGATTGATTGATTGATTGAGTCAGAGTCTCACTCTGTTGCCCAGGTTGGAGTGCAGTGGCACAATTGTAGCTCACTGCAGCCTCCTGGGCTCAGTCTATCCTGCCGCCTCAACTACCGGAGTAGCTGGGATTACAGGCACATTCCACCACACGTGGCTAATTTTTAAAATTTTTTTGTAGAGACAAGGTTTCACTATGTTGTCCAGGTTGCTCTCGAAGTTCTGGACTCAAGCAATCCTCCCGCCTCTGCCTCCCAAAGTGCTTGGATCACAGGCATGACCCGCCATACCTGGTTAAGTGTTTCCATTTCTTAATGTTCACTTCTACTCCTCTTAAATCTTAAGATAATAGCACCAACCCAGGAAGTAGGAAGATATTTATAACAAGAGGTCACATCTTATTTAATTCTGAAGCACTCTGCATCAAATGCACCCGCACATTCATTTTTCATTGGGAATATGCATATGGATAGATGACTAAGAAACAATAAAAGCTGTTCTGCCTCCAATAACATTCATTAACCTCTGAGACTAAGTTACTCCTTAAAAGGTAGATGGTCTTTCTACACAAAAGAATTGACCAGGGACTGCGGAACTGGCAACTAACTCTAATGGCATTGTGACATGGAACTCTACTAGAAGCTCACCTACCAGCATTTTTTTAAAGCGATTAATTTACAGTAGCAATTTTCTTTCTGAAATCAGAAATCTCTGTGTGTGTGTGTGTGTGTGTGTGTGTGTGTGTGTGTGTGCGAAATGTGTTTTCTATCTTTTTCTATGTGTTCGTCTTATGTTGAAGATCCCAGGTGAACTTTGATCACTGAAGGGAAAATCAATGGCTCCACGCAGTTGACAGTAGCTGGGGGTTATCTGCAGCACATCTAATTAAAGTGAGTGGATTTACAGCATCCTGCATTACCTGCATCTTCACTGGATGTGTAGGAAGCAGCAAAGCCTCCATATGGTCTGGATCCATCAGTAAAAAACTCGACCCTCATTGTGTTGCCTGAAGATTTGATCTCGTTGCTGACATTCACACTACTACACAATTGCTCCAGCTGGGGTGAGTTACTCCTAAGGCCATTGAATACCTGTTGGAAAAATAGTTTAACCCTTAGACATACAGTCCGTCTTACTGTATATTTCCAAGGAGGTGATAATCCCAGGCCAGACCCACTTCCTTCTAAAGGAACCCTGTGCTAAAATGAATGACCTAACACTGCAGGCGTCTATGCCAGTACCACAAGCCACTGTTACCATGAACACATTTTGTGACCTCAGGGTTATTTTACTAAAATGAAAATACTACAGTAATGCCCTCCTGCCATGTGATGTCAGATAAAAAACTGCCATGCACTTTGCAAGTAGAAACTGTGCTCTAATGTAACTTAGATGTGCCACCATGCTTCCATCGTGGTGCACAGAGTTCACCGACAGGCAGTTTTTCTTAACGTTGCATCAGGACCTTTGATCATTGGAAAGAGGCTTAAATGTCAGTCTCTGATGATTTGAAACATATTCAGATATTCAGATATTTCAAAATACCCTGAAAAGTAATTTTAAAAATCAATCTCAATATGCAAGTAAATATAATTGTCTTTTCCTAGTTACTTACGGATTCAAAACTTCGATTTTCTTACTCATTTGAATTTTTTTTTTAAAGTTGGAATCTCACTCCGTCACCCAGACTAGAGTGAAGTGGCACAATCACGGCCACCCCAGCGTTGACCTGCTGGGCTCCAGCGATCCTTCTGCCTCAGCCTTCCTAGTAGCCGGAACTACAGGCTACCACACTCGGCTAATTTTTTTTTTTTTTTGTAGAGATGAGGTCTCACCAAGTTGCCTGGGCTGGGCTCAAACTCGTGAGCTCAGGCAATCCACTCGCCTCGGCCTCACAAAGTGCTGGGATTACAGACTGAGCCTCCAAGCCCGGCCTCATTTGAATTTTTAAGAATGGATTGTCCCTCACTAATCTTCAAGGAGATGCAAATTAAAACTACACTGAGATACCACCTAACTCCAGTCAGAATGGCCATTATCAATAACTCAAAAAATAACAGATGCTGGAGAGGATGTGGTGAAAAGGGAACACTTCTGCACTGTTGGTGGGAGTACAAATTAGTGCAGCCTCTGTGGAAATCAGTGTGGCGATTCCTAAAAGCTCTAAAAATCGACCTTCCACATGACCCTGCAATCCCACTACTGGGAATATACCCTGAAGAACGCAAATCATTCTATAAAAAAGATACCTGCACAGGTATGTTTATTGCAGCATTGTTCACAAGAGCAAGATCATGGAATCAGCCATGCTGTCCATCAAAAGAGGACTGGATTAAAAAAATGTGGTACATATACACAATGGAATATTACGCAGCCATAAAACAGAACAAAATCATGAATTTCGCAGCAACCTGGATGGAACTGGAATTTATAATACTGAGTGATCTTTCACAGAAACAAAGATCTGAGTATCACATGTTCTCACTCATAAGTGGTCCTTGAACAACTATCGTAATACTATAAGAAAAGGATTGACAGTGGTGGGAAACTATGGGTGGGGCAGGGAGGAGAAGGGAGGTGGGATTAACGGTAGTCGATATCTGACTGGGGGTGGGGGGGCACACCTTATCAACAAGGGTACCTGCACAATGCATATTTGTATACCTAACTCTTAACTGTACCCCACAATTTTAAAATAAAAAATATGTTAAAAAAAGGATTAGAGTATTGTTGACTTCAAAATATTAAATAATAGCTCTAGTCATTCACATCGGTATAATAATTGGCAAACTATTATTCCACTTGTAGAAACCAAGCGCATGTGTTAGCATGACTGTTTTTCACAGTTCTAAAAAAATCCAGAAGAAATAACTAAACAATAATTCATTGATATTCCTGTTTTTTAAAAGGATCTAAATGGCTCACAATTACAAATGAGGACTCAGGCTGTGACACAAAAACTATGCAGAAGGAGAGTGTACTCCATGACCAAAGATGTAAGCAGCTTTATTTACTATAATTGATTAGATTTAGCTGCTTGGGGGCTTCGGTTTTAAAGTGTCTTCTGGCTCACAGAACCAGCTGAAGAATTTACTATCATCTATTGAGCAGACAAAATGCCAAACTTTGCTCATCACCCACTCAGACTGTCGTATCCAATCAGCACACCTTCCCAAGAGATAAAAATCCCTGCTGTCCGGATTAAGATACCAGAATTCAAAAAGATGATGTAATTTGCTGAAGTTCAAAGAACTAGTAATAATAGAATTTGGATTCAAGCCATCTCTCTAATTCCAAACCATGAAGTAATGCATAAAGAAACAGAAGATGACAAATGTTTCAATAATGTTGAAAACAAATGGTCACCACATTGCCAGAATCAAAAGGGGTTATAACCAACCATAAGGTTCATGGAACACATTGAAAAACATGCTCAATGGCTGTTATCCCTGCCTCGATGTCAGCCCCTGGTCTAGAATCACAATGACTGAAAATTTTGCAGTCATCCATTTATCACACGGACTTCTGCTTTTAGAAGCAACCAGAGAGCTATTCCACTCTTCTCCTCGAGTCCCTCTTGTATGTGGAAACTGCAATTCCCAGAAAGAAGCTGGGGAAGAAACAGGCACTGGAGATTCAGGACAGGCTATAAATTTGCTATGAGAAGGAACAAAATCAGACCCAGGTTTCATCATAGTACATACTGCCTGGCATAGTTTTACTTTTCCTCCATCCTATCAGAAAGTCAGAGAGGCAGGGGACGGAGGAGTGGAGGAATTTTAGGCTCAGTACAATCAGATAAGGTGTTAGGCTAGAAGCAGTGCACTTAATACTGCCCCACTCCAGATTTTAGTAAGCACATCTTTCCTTTCTTTCCTTCCTTTCCTTCCTTCCTCCCTCCCTCCTTCCCTTCCTTCCATCCATCCTTGTTCTCAAGTAAATAGAGAAGAGGCAAAGGGCAGTCTACATACCCTTATTTGGAGCAAAGTAACGCAAAACAAAGCAAACATTGAAGATGTGAAATATATTTCCAAGGAAAGGAATATGGACACATTATATTAAGAATTCAGAGAAGAAATTAATTCTGAAAGTGATTCCTTGTTGCAGTTTTGACCTTCCAAAGAGAAAAGCCTTGGGGCTATATGATATTTGTAAGTTTCCCTAATTAAAGAGTCAAGTCCCCCTTCAGTCACCTCCCATCATGTGTGATGAGTTGACAGCTCCATCACATATGCAGAGGTGTCAATTAGCCTTTAGTTCTCATTCTTAAATATGAATGAATAAATGAACAATCAAGGATTATCAGACATTTAGGGAACTGTTCAATGTAAAGGGAGGGGCCAATATAAGTAAATAGGAGATGTAAATGTGAAGGAAATTGACCTTAGAGAAGCAAAATTAAGATGAACATATTCATATGCTTATGAATATACTGAATACATATAATAATAGAATATATATTAAACAAATGAGGGCAAAATATGGATAATTTCAAGCATACAGTTTCTCAAAATTTCTTTTACCCATGCGTATTTCCTTAAGGAGCGACAAGAACATATTCTTCACCAAAAAAGAAGAAATTAACCAAGAAAGGGAGATGCATAGAATCTCAAAGCCAGCTCTCCAGCTCAGGAGAGGAATGAAGGAAACTACAGATTTGACGGTGAAGGAAATTCCAAAGTGACAGCTGGCATCAGGCTTGAAACTAACAGACAGAGACTCAAAGAAGGCAATTGTTGAGGAAATGAAATGGAAATGATAGGTGTGTTTTACTGTATAAGGTGGAGACATACATTCAGGGTGGAAAGGATATGGAGAATTGGTGATCAATGCATAGAACACCAAGAAAATGTTGAAGAGGACACAATTATTATTATTACTTGGAAAAATAAAAGCAAACGTTACCACAGTACACTACTAGGCTTACATGAGTGGTGTTCACAGAATCATAGTAATAGAAACAGTGAATGACAATTTAATCCCAAGTTACTATATACTCATTTGGGGAGAAAGTTGGGAGACTGTGCAAATTGTGCATACCCTGTGTGCATTTGTGGTGATGGAGGGCTAAGTCCTCGTCTTCCATAGTAGAATGTGGGTAGATAGTGTCTAAGACCATAAAAAAAATTAAGGAATAGCAAAGTAGGAATATTATTTAGAAATAATGACATAAATACCACCAGAAGTAGCTGAAAAGTTGAAATTAGATACTTTAGGCATCTATGATTAATGGATAAGGAGATGTCGAGTAAGATCTGGCTTGGAATTTGCGGTTGTAGCTATAAACTTTATCTTATTATTTGAGTTCTAAAGCTATGACTGTTTATATTCTCTTCCCTGTAGGACATGTAAATATTCTGCTGGTAAAATTCCTGATAATCATTATACTGAATATGATTTAAACTATGGAAACAATTTCAAAGGTGAAAAACAACTTGCAGCACCTTCATCACAATTTTAGAAATAGGTGGATAGAATTCAGAATATTTTTATATTTTGTCTTTTCTGAATTCCCCAAATATTGTTCAATAAGCATCTATTATATTTATAATAAGAAAAGAAGATTAAAAGTAGTATTCAAGTGAATTTATAGCACATGATTATAACTACATAAAATTATGCATTGTCAAAAAGAGACAAGAACATGCATTAAAATATGGTATAGTGAGGGTGGTTAGTTTTTTTTTTTTTTAACTTCATCTTTGTTTATATATATTTAATCAATAATAGAAAAAATGTTCCTTTAAAATAAACAAACTTAGTCTGGAATTTCCTGACTATAGATAAAGCACACTGGGTTTTATCTTTTGTTTGTTTGTTTGTTTAGAGTCAGTCTTACTCTGTCACCCAGACTTGAATGCAGTGGCAACTCATGGCTACTGCAGTCTGCTGGGCTAAGGCAATCCTTACGCCTCAACCTTCCAAGTAGCTGGAAATACAGGTGTGCACCACCAGACCTGGCTAAATTCTTGATTTATTGTAGAGACAAGGTCTCACCAAGTTGCCAGACTGGTCTCAAACCCCTGGGCTCAAGCAGTCCTCTTGCCTCCCAAAGTACTGGGATTACAGGAGTGAGCCACAGTGCCCAGCTGGGTTTTATATTTTCAAAATCTGAAAGGCAACATTTAAGTCCTGCAGACATTAGAGCTTGAAAACAACATTTGAAGGTTGAATGAGATGATTTTTAAGACACGACAAAGTGGTAATAAGCACAAAGATATTTTTGAAGTTCACTACCCAAGAGGAGACAATTAAACTGAAAACAAAAGTGGCTTGTTTATTGAAAGGATAGTGATAGTATTTCTGCTATTCATTCATTCAACAATTATTATTATTATCACGTGCAGACACTGGGGATTCAGTGAATCATTTGGACTTGCTTTCATGGAGTTTACATGCTAGTAGGGGAAGCAGACAATAAACAAAAGAACAAATAGATATGAAGTATGTCAGCTGGTGTGAAGTACTGTGAAAAAACAACACAGAGAAGAGCCAGGCCAGGGAAGGTCTATGTAATATGCTTAGGGAAAGTCTCAAGGATCAAAAGTCATTTGAGCAGAGAATAAATGAAGTGGGGGGCATGAACCAGGCAGCCATCTTGGAAGGAACATTTCAGATAGAAGCACTAGCCAACGTGAAGGCCCATATTCAGTATATTCAAGGAACAAAAAAGAGGCCAGATGGCAGGATCCCAGTGAGCAGAGAGGAGGGGAATTTGAGATAAGACAGGTAGGTTGAAGAGGGTGAGGCAGCAGATATTGTTGGCCAGGTGGGCCACTGTAAGGACCTGGAATTTTCTTCTAAGTGACATAAGAGGTCATTAGAGGATTTTCAAAGGGAACAACAGGATCTGATGTAGGATTAGAACCATCATGCAGCAGCTGTGTTGACAACGTGGGGAGACATGGGTAGATACAAGGAGATCAGGTGGAACCAAAATAATCCAAGTGAGTGGTGCTAGTGGTAGTAGTGGACATCATGAGAAGTACTTAAAGTCTGGATATTTTTTAAAGACACACTCAATGAGACTTTCTCATAGATGCAATTTAGGGTATAAGAGAAGGACTCTAAAATAGACATCAAAATTTTTTACTTAAACAACCAGAAGTTTGGAATTATTTATGGAGATAACAAAGATCCAGAAGGGGCAAGTTAGGTGAAGAAATATACTAATAGTCAGGTAAACTATCTATACACACACTCGTATGTACATACCTATGTATACATACATGTGTATGCATGCATGGGTATGTACGGGGGGGATCCAAAAAAACCCCAAATTTATTTATAAAAAACTGTGTATTTATTCTTACATGTTTAAACTTCAGTCACCTTCAAAGTACTCTTTGTTTGATGCAATACACCTATCGAGACACTTTTTCCACTGCTCAAAACAGTTTTCAAACTCATCAACTTTGATGCCTTTTAGTGCTTCTGCCTTTTTTTGTTTCACGTCTTCCCCATCAGCAAAACAATTCCCTTGGAGGACTTTTTTCATCCAAGGAAACAAAAAACATCACTTGGGAAGAGATCTGCTGAATAGAAAGGGTGGGGCATGGAGGTCATGTCTGTTTTGGTCAAAAACTACTGAACACTCAGCAAGGTGTGGGCAGGTGCATTGTGTTGGTGGAAGAACCAGTCTCCTGTTTGCCACACACACACACACACACACAAATTCACTGAAGCCAAATGCAGCCTCTCACAACAACACTACCTGGTACACTGATGCCAATGGGTTCCTAGAACACTTACCTAGTGGGGTATGTCTATACTACAAGGTTTCTGCCCTCCAAAAAATATTTCTGTTTTTTTTTGGGTCCCCCTCATATGTGTTTAGGACTTCAGTTAACAATTTGTTATTCACACTCATAGGTCTCATTTTCTTTCTTCTCCTCAGCTAAGAATGCTGAGGGCACATCCCAAAGCATTTGAGGTTGGCAACTAGGAAGGCAGACAGCCATGTTGTCCCACCAGGAGTCCCTCTATACTCTTGGCAGAGAACAGTGATTATGCACCTGTCTGCTTAAAGCTTTTGGTAGTGGCTTGTGCTGCGACTTTGGTCCCATTCAGCTATGTGCTGCCTTAGGCCTAGCTTCCCTCTGCCTACGCAGTTTCACAATATGTAATGACCATTTACTCTTAAAATGTATTCCCCCTATGACCCTGATGTTTGTAATGAAAGCTGATAGTCTCTTTAAGCAACTTGTACACTTATTTTGACAGTTTATTGTGATTTTGTTCTATCTAAAATAAATTTTGTCTGAGACATGATTACATAGATGGCAGTACTCCTGACCTAGATTGCTGACTATGATTTATGGGTCAATAAACTTTTTTTTTTTGAGTTGGAGTCTCACTCTGTCGCCCAGACTGGAGTGCAGTGGCCACTCCCGGCCACCGCAGCCTCGACCTGCTGGGCTCCGGCGATCCTTCCGCCTCAGCCTTCCAAGTGACTGGAACTACAGGCACGCGCTACCATGCCCGGCTCATTTTTTGATTTATTGTAGAAATGAGGTCTCACAAAGTTGCCCAGGTGGGTCACGAATCAATAAACTTCTTAAGCAATGGAAAGCAACATCCCTGACAGCAGGGGTCACTTACTATCACATGTTCACTGTCGCAGGATGGATGAGCTTCCAGCCTCAGGTTGGTAAACGTTAGGGTGATCTGTCTTCCCTCCTGCACGGTGATCCTCCACTCACAGATTCGGCCATGAGGATTTGGGTTTGGGTAGTTGGGAGAAGTCAGTGTTCCCGTGGAGCCCTGCAGATCCCCACCACATTCTGATAGGGGAAAAAAGTCAAGAAAACTTCCAATTAAATCAAAGTGTCTCCTTCTACCAGGAATGCTCCCAAATTAAAGTATTTTTAATAATCCTTCTAGGCAAAATCCTTGCACTTATTTATAATTATATGTACGTGAGGAGTTTTAGCGAGCATTTGCATTCTCTTCTTTTTTTTGGCTTTTTTTTGTTTGTTTTTGAGTTGGAGTCTCACTCCAGAGCCCAGGTTGGACTGCAGTGGCATGCTCATAGCCACCCCAGCGTCGACCTCCTGGGCTCCAGCGACCCTTCTGCCTCAGACTTCCAAGTAGCCAGAATTACAGGTGTGTGCTACCATGCCTGACTAATTTTTTATTTATTGTAGAGACGAGGTCTCACCAAGTTGCCCGGGTTGGTCTTGAACTCGCAGGTTCAGGTAATCCACTTGCCTCGGCCTCTCAAAGTGCTGGGATTACAGGTTGAGCCATTGAGCCCAGCCTGCATTCTCTTCTTATTTCTAAATAATAGGTCATTTTTGCTTCCATGAATGACAGAGTACTGGTAGCATTTTAATTATCATCATGGCCCAAGAAATATAAGAAACCAATGGATGTAGTGATCTTAAGAACTAGGAAAATCAGAAGGCCAGAGTAATAATATAGTTTTTTCCAACAAGATCTTTATTTCATCTGAGTTTGTCAGGATATTTGAGAAGGCAAATTCTGAATAACTGTAAAACAGATTACTGGTTTTCTTAAGATGAGCATCATAGTATAACTACCATACTCTTTTTACATTTCTCATAATACTAGTTACTTCCCTTTATAGCACTTATCACAGCTGTAATTTTTCACTTGTTGGTGTGACTTTTTTAGTAAAGTCCGAGGGAGCTGGGGTCATGTTTTAATCTGTTTTACAAACTACTGTTAACACTAGCATAGTGTCTATCCAGTGTAGATGTTCCATGTTTCTTCAAATGAATCAATGGACTCACCTTCCAAGCTGGATTCAAACCGCAGTCTGAATCCTGAGGCAGTAAGAGAACCATCTGTGACAAATCTGACCAAAGCAATATTGCTAGAAGTGTCTATGCTGTCAGGAATGGTGTTTCCACAGTATCTGCCCAAGACATTTCCTGTGAGAGTCAAAAAATTAAGTATGTAATTGTTCAAGTGACTGATTTCTTTTAACTTCTACTTGAGATGTCTTACAAAGAAAATGATATAGACCTGCTCATGAAGAAACGATAATCTCTGTCAAGAAAAGTAGAAAAGCATGAATAAAAATTAGCTTACTTAAATATATGAAGTATGAAAATATGCAGTCAATTAGGGGCAGGGTATCTCAGCACAATGAGGAAGGCTTGCTCACTTGGTTAAAAAAAATGATCAGAGACAACAGTGCCAAGTATCTGTTTCATATTATTGCCAGGAGACATACATTACTCTTCCCTGTCCTCAAGCTATAGGACACCCCTCAAATAACTACATGTGGCAATGAGATGTCCCAGCAGGAAGAGGATGGCTTCCCAGTACAGTGCTCTCTCAATGCTCAATGTAGTCTCCAGGGTTGACTATACAACCACTGGGCTTTGGATGGGTTTTTTGTTTGTTTGAGTTGGAGTCTCACTCTGTTGCCCAGGCTGGAGTGCAGTTGTACGCTCATGGCCACCACAGCCTCTACTTGCTGGGCTCAGGCGATCCTTCCACCTCAGCCTTCCAAGTAGCTGGAACTACAGGCACACACCATCATGTCCAGCTAATTTTCTGATATATTGTAGAGATGAGGGCTCGCAAAGTTTCCCAGGCTGGTCTCAAATCCATGGGCTCAGGCTGGTCCCAGGCTGGTCTCGAATCCATGGGCTAGGCAATCCTCTCACCTCAGCCTCCCAAAGTGCTGGGATTATAGGCATGAACCACAGCACCAGGCCTGCTCAGAACTCTTTGATCTGCACTTCTTTGCAGTATATTGATGTATTGTGCCTTTCTTGGAAGTGAAGAAACTTCAGAGGTGAATGAGTATGTGTGAAAATAACATCCCCAAGAGAAAACAGACACATTTCACTGACCAGAGGTATGGTTGTCCCAGATCTCCACAAAGTCTTTTTCACAGTCAGGGGAATTCTGGAGGTTAAAATCTTCAAAAGAGATGGTGAGAAAGTGTCCAGAGAGACCCTGGAGATGCCACTCACAGAATAAATTGTCTCTGTATGGAAGTGTTGGATAGCCAATGCTTTCAATGACACCACTTTGTCCTGTTACTCTTCCCCCACATTGAGCTGCAAAAAAAGAGAGCAATATTCTATTATAAATTTTGTTTATCTGATTTCACCAGCACTTTGAAAAACTCTTAGGTGCCAAGTGAATGTGAAGTTTTAAAAATTCTGAAAATGTTTGGTTAGTGCTGTCCTTATTATTTGAAATCTACCATGGACGTAAAGAGAAATGACACCACAGATCCCATTCGATAACGAGAAATGGAAGATAATTATTGAATGGCATAATCTGTAATGTCACATTAATTCCTTTGGGACGCTATGTAAGAGCTATTAGTTGCAAGTAGTTTTCATCTCAACAACCAACTGATAGACTGATCTGGCTGGCCTGCCTAGTATCCCGTGTTGATGGCTCTGAAGGCTGAGTCCAAGCTCAGCTGTAAGGGGCAATGCAGTTGATTGGTGATGCCTGCTGTTTCTAGTTTAACTGCAAATAAACAGTTTACCAGGATCTTAGGGCCTTGAAAATTACCATTCAATTATTTCTTATCAGCTGGATGTGATAGCCAGACTGAATTAGATGCAATTTGACTCAGGATATAAAATGACCTGTGTGGCCATTGCCTTGCTAGGTTATGGTGTGGCTATGTGCTCTTTGAGCTATGGCCAGGCCATGTTTTCTTAAGCTTTGGCCCCTTCCCCTACCTTGGGGAGGTGAATCTCCTCTTTCTCTCTTTGTTTGTTTTCCCCCCAGGCCTACCAGATACTAAATTATATTGTATTGTGATCATATTACAGTGAATCTTCAGTAAGCAAATGTACTGCTCATTTAAAAAATATGGAAATCAAAACACGGAGGAGTCATATTTGCTTGTTATCCAATGATTGCTTTGGCACAAGATACTTAATGAAAAAGTACTCAATTATTCTATATATGATGAGGAATTCAAAGTCACTGTTCTAATTATAGTTATTTGATTACTAGATAGTTTTATTACATAAAGTAATATACATACAGTAATGCCCTCTTATCCTAAGAGGATACATTCCAAAGACTTCCATGGATAAATAAAATAGTGGATAGCACCAGACCCTATACAGACTATGTTTTTTCACTTACATACATACCTACGGTAAAATTTAATTTATAAATCAGGTACAGTAAGATATTAGCAATAACTAATAACAAAATAGAATAATTATAGCAGTATATTATAATAAAAGTTATGTGAATGTGGTCTGTCTGTCTCGCTCTTAAAATATCTTAGTGTACTAAACTCACCTATTTTCAGAAATCAATTTACCAAGGGCAGTTGAAATCACGATAAGTGAAACCACAGGTAAGAGGGGACTACTATATTTCGTGGTAAAAGGAAAAAACAAGAACTTGATTTAACTGAATATATTTCTTCACAAATAAATTAGAAAAAATGCTTAATATTCACATTTACTAAAAATAGTGTTTTAAGATGGAAATCAAAGGAGAAATTAAAATTGATAAATGATTGTGGTTTTAACATTTATGCTCCTTACTTATCACTATCACTAAAATCATCCTTAAAATTAGGCAGCTAGAAAGACTTCTTTTAAAAAAGGCATGATTTAAAAACCAAGTTTTAATATATTCATTCTATTCCAGCTTTGTATTTTAATATAAAAATGCTGTTACCTATAGAATACATGGCCTTGAATCCCACATGAGTAGGACTATTGTCAGATCGAAATCTCAAATACATGACCTCTCCTGAGGACAACAGACTGCTGGGTAAAGATATCCCACACAATCTGGCAAGTATTGGTACATTTGAATCAGCGCCATCTCGCAACTCGAGGTAACTGGATGTACAGCTAAAGTGGAAAAAAAAATTCTGTTAAATTTATAAGGTCCATTGCTTTGACTTATTTTGATAATTACCATTTCACTAACTCCCTTTAAAGATATTAGATCATTTGTATAGCCTAAGATACTATGACAGAGTCAGTTTAAGCTGTGTGTCACTTTAAAATGCTGTATCATATTTTCCCTAATCATACAGTCTTGTATTAGTAGTTCAAAAAGACAGTTTTATGTGTTCTACATTGAAGAAAAGTTAATTCCCTTCCATATTCTATATTACTTTGACAAATATAAAAGTCATTTTCAAATCAACCCCTATGAATTTCAAAAAAAAAACCCACAAGTATTTAGTTTCACATAATGATTTGATACATTTTACATGACAAAGATAAACTCTCTCGATGGCTCTGTGACCAGGGCTAATGGAGAGTCCCAGCTGGAATTTTCTGTGCCCATACAAGTGTACAAGCATTTGCCTAATGTTTTCTGAGAAAGTCAATTCAGCCAATTAAACCTCAGTGAAGTGGAAGACTAGTATTATATTCAGTGCCCAGAAGTGGCAAGCAACACTGTCTTATATCTAAGGTTTGTATCAAAACACATGCATTCATACAAATGTATACACACTTTTGTTAAATGGAAGAGAAAATCACAGATGTGTTTTTACAGTCTGTATACTTTTCCTTTGTCTTCAATATAGCAAGAGTTACTCTCTGCTTTGTAATCCCTTAAGACTCATATTAAATAGAGGCTGGAAATTATACTGTATTTGCCTTAGTCCTGCTTCTGACACTGGTGACCCTTGGTGCCACACTACACAAATTCCTGTTTGTTAAACAGATACTTCATCATTTGTGACACTGATTATGAGTCTAAGCAAATAAATATCCATCTACCAGAGACACTATATTTTTCCTGTGAGAGGAAAAACAGATAACATAAATCTCAAAGAGCCACCCTTAGTGTCTCTTGGAGGATGTATCTAGGGTCACAAGGGGTAATATGCCAATATATCCATGTACATAATCTTCTCAGCTGATGGGAGTGCTTTCAGGCTTGAGGCATTAGGCATTTCCCCTGTCCCTAGATTTCCTCTGTAGTATGTGCTATTGAGGGGGAAAAAAAAGAAATAATTTGTCTTGGGACATTAAAGTTAAAAAATACTAACTTTGGGTAGAATAAATATTCAAATGGAAGTGACCTACTTGGGTGTTACTTCAATATTGAATTGATCTTCAAATAGCAGCCTTATGCGTGTTCCTGGTGGAGCCACTAAGACCCAAATGCAATCAGCATGCTGTGGATAATTGTCAGGGTAGTTGGGGGAGGTCACATATCCGGTAGAATCAGCATCATGGATGTAGAGGTTGCCCCCACAGGCTGTCAGGAAACACAGTTCAATCAATCTGGTGAAGGAGATGCAGTCAACGACCACAGTCATTTTTTGAAGTCAACATATCTATATGCTGTCTCAATATCCTTTCATCTGGAATGATCCTTATTGTCCTTTTCAGAAAATAAGTTCTGAATTTGCTATTGAAGCAGCTACCAGGTGTGTCTCTCTCTAATTTGCCAAATCATTTATTCTCACTGCAAATTTCTTTCTTCCTTAAAGTCAACAAAATGATTACGGCACATAGTACAAGCAGCAAAACATCATAGAAACATGAATATGTATCCAACACTTCGATAAGCATGTAAATATGCTAGCAGTTACAACTCCCCACTGAGTGTTCAGTGCAGTGGAACAGTGCAAAGCCATGATCTTGATATGTTTAAAAGACTAAGCAGATATATATTGGCACACCTCTGTGGGCATTCGTTCATTATATTTCTTCACAGTGTGGATGCATTTGAAGAGCAGGAGACCAATGGCATGAGAGAATTTATTAGCCATTTTTTGCAAGAAGATAAAGGAGCTCTTTATACTTCTTACCCAAAAGACCAAAGTATTATAGAAAAACACTTTTCTTTTATCAATAAATATTCTTTGGCAATTTCGGCAAACAAGTTAGACAAGAGTAAATGTACTCACAATGCCAATGAAATTACCCTGCCTCATGACTTAATTCTACAGATAGTCGATCTGCCAAACTCTGGCAACATTTATGTTCACTGTCACTCAGTCACTTGTGGTCACAACCTGAATGTTGTCATTACCTAGAACTCTTCCATCCCTGAAACCCTAAATTGCAAATCCCTTTGATGGCCTCTAACCCCCTTGCTTCAAGCCTTTCCTTCAGATTCCCCCTGCAAAATGCTAATTTTGTGGTTGTGTTCAATACATGCTATTCCTGGAAACTGATGACACTGACAATACCTGTTCTCCAGTATCAACACCACCAAGCAATTCACCCATTACTGCTCATATAAACTACAGCAGCCCCTTGAAACTTTACTCTCTAAACACTTTATTCTCTCCTATTTCCTCTTGATTCTCAGCACATGACATTCAGCTCTCCTTTAGATAGAAAGTAGAAGAAACCAAGTGAGAATCCCCTCAATTTGTTACCATCATTAATAAATGTATCTGCATGTCTACCCCCCCCCCATCTTCCTGTGTCTGTGGTCTGGGTTTCCCTCCCCTTCTGTCTCCACAGGAATCTTGTTCTATTTAACCTCTCTCTCTCTCTCTCTCTCTCTCTCTCTCTCTCTTTCTTTCTCTCTCTCCCTTCCTCAGTTTTTAGCCCTGTCAAAGCATGCATGTACTCATGTTCAGGTCCCCAGTCATCTCATAGTTGTGTACCCAAAGACCTTTTTCAATCCTTATATTCATAGCAGTTAACGTGACTGATCACCTCTCCTTTCTTTACATTTTTGCCCTTAGCTTCTGAGATGCCAAGCTCTTCTCCCACTTCTTTTACTCCTCTCACCTCCTCTGCTCTTTGGTGCCTCTTTCCAGGGCTTTCTCGACATTGCTGTAGATTCCCAGAAATTCTATTTAGGCATTTTATCTTCTCACTCTGAATAATTCCCTGATTGATGTCACACACCCTCCTGACTTAAACTGCAACCAATCTGTTGATGATTTTCATGTTTAGAGTTTCCATCTGGATGCCTCTTCTGAGCTCCAGACTCGTGTTGCATTAGCCCACTGGACATTTCCAATGGATGTAATTAAGAGATTTCAAATTGAACATGCTTCTAACAGACATTATCTATGTGCTATCCTGAGCGCCACACAAGAGTGAATAATGGTATCTTCTCCCCCTTCTATGGATACTCTTGAGTCACTCTTATTACTTTATTTTTAGCCTTAATACCTTTTATCACATGACGCATTACTTATTATCTGTGTTAGAACACTAAAACTAAGGTCCATGAAGACATGGACTTTGTTTACTGCTGTATACCCAGGAGTTAGTTCAGTGTCTGTCCCACAGAAAGTTTTTTTTTTTGAGTTGGAGTCTCACTCTGTCACCCAGACTGGAGTGCGGCGGCACACTTACAGCCACCACAACCTCGACCTGCTGGGTTCAGGTGATCCTTCCATCTCAGCCTTCCAAGTAGCTGGAATTACAGGCACGTGCCACTATGCCCAGCTACTTTTTTTTAAAATTTATTTATGTAGAGATGAGATCTCACCATGTTGCCCAGGCTGGTCTCAAACCCGTGGGCTCAGGCAATCCGCTCACCTTGGCCTTCCAAAGTGCTGGGATTATAGGCGTGAGCCACCATGCCGAAAGTTCTTAATAAATGTGTGTGTAATTAACAGATCCACCCAGTCAGAGACCTAGCAGTTACTCATGGCTCCTCCCGTCCCCACCCTTCTCTCTCACATCCAGCTGACCAAATCCGCTCAATCCCATGCTTATATCCTTCACAATACCCTCTCTTCTACCTTATTACCACCATTGCCATAGTTCAGAACCTACTTTTTTTTTTTTTTTAGTTGAAGTATCACAATGTCGACCAGACTGGAGTGCAGTGGCACACTCACGGCCACCGCAGCCTCGGCCTGCTGGGCTCAGGTGATCTTTCTGCCACAGACTTCCAAGTAGCTGGAACTACAGGCACACACCACCACGCCTGGCTAGGAACTGATTTTTTGCTCCTGAATTACTCTTTTATTTGGTCTCTCTCCCTTTAGTCTCTCCCCACTCCCCAGTGTTTTCAACGTTGTAGCCACACTGGTATCTAATCTGATCATGGCATTCATGCTTTGGAGTAAAATCTTTCCAAGGCTCTCCATTACCTTTTGGTTAACATCTTAACTCCTTATGGTGACATTCATGGCCCTGAGCATGCAGGTTCCTACCTGCTACATCACCATTATGTTTGCCTCCTTTTGACTTTATTCTCCAGCAGCAGCAATTTTTTTTTTCTTTTTCGTTTTCTTTTTTTTTTTGAAACAAGATTTCACTCTGTCACCCAGTCTGGAGTGCAGAGGCACGATCACAGCTCACTACAGCATGGAACTCCTGGGTTCAAAAGATCCTCCTGCCTCAGTCTCACAAGTAGCTGGGACTACAGACCCACAGTACTACTCTGGCTAATTTTTCTTTTTCTTTCTTTTTTTTTTTTTAGGAATGGAGGTCTTGCTTCCATTCTTGCCAAGTCGCCCAGGCTGGCCTCGAACTCCTGGCCTCAAGTGATTCTCCCTCCTTGGCCTCCCAAAGTACTGAGATTACAAGTGTGAGCCACCATGCCCAGCATGTAAATTCTTTTAAATCCTTAAATATGCCTTTTCTCATAACACCGAGACTTTCTACGCATTCACATCTTCTCTTTGCTGATTGGCAAATTTCTTCGCCTACTTCCTCTGGGAGCCTTCTCTCAGCCCAGGGCTGGGCTAAGTGTCTCTGTTCCATGCATTCCTCTTTCTAGTACTTATTATACCATATTCTAATTGTGCCTTTGCTTATCTGTCTCCTCCACTGTGCTGTGAACTCCTTGAAAGGACTTGACAGTTTGCATGGCATAAAGCCCTTTGCAAATGTTTGATTGCTTGATTAATAAGCCAGTTAATCAGGTGAGAATACAAGGCATCCAACACTGGGTCATGGAAACCTCAGCCAACCCTAGTGAAGGAGCATCTCTGGAGAAAAGTGGTGTAAAATGAGGTGAACTTCAGCACTTTGAGAGGCCAAGGTAAGATGACTGCCTGAACCCACGAATTCAAGACCAGCCTGGGCAACTTGGCAAGACCTCATCTCTACAATAAGTCAAGAAAAATTAGCTGGGCATGGTGACTCATGCCTGTAGTTCCAGCAATTTGGAAGGCTGAGGTGGAAGGATTGCCTGAGCCCAGCAGGTCGAGGCTGCAGTGGCCTTAAGCGGGCCACTGCACTCCAGCCTGGGAGACAGAGTGAGACTCTGACTCCAAAAAAAAAAAGAGGTGAACTTGATGTCAAAAGATGTTCACGCCGGGCTCGGTGGCTCAGCCTGTAATCCCGCGCCTTTGGGAGGCTGAGGTGAGTGGATTGCCTGAGCCCGCGGGTTCGAGACTCGCCTGGGCAGCGAGACCTCATCTCTACAATAAATCAAAAAATCGGGTGTGGTAGCGCATGCCTGTAATTCCGGCTACTCGGAAGGCTGAGGCAGAAGGATCGCCGGAGCCCAGCAGGCCGAGGTTGTGGTGGCCGGGAGCGGCCACTGCACTCCAGTCTGGGCGACAGAGTGAGACTCCAACTCAAAAAAAAAAGACGTTCACAGGCTGAATGCGGTGGTTCCTCCCCATGATCCCAGCACTATGGAAGGCTGAGGTGGGAGAATGACTTGCGCCCAGGAGTTGGAGACCAGCCTGGGCAACATGAGACTTGATCTCTACAAAAAATTACAAAAATCAGCCGGGCATGGTGGTAAACACAGGCTGAGAAATGAAGAAGTAGCACAGAAGTAGATATGGTAGAAGACAGCAGGATAGGTGTGGGAGAGAAGGCTGGCTATAGTTATGGAGAGTGGTTGGATTAGTAAGTAGAGGGAAATAAGAGTGATCCTATTGTTTGGGTTTGCCAACAACAGGTTTTGAAATCATAAAGACCTTTGTCTAAGTCTAATACCAAGGGCAGTCATAACTTGAAGAAAGATAGGGAGAAGGTAATGGCCATAACCATACTTGCATGAATACAAGGAACAGAAGAGGTACAACGTTGTCAATTAAACCCTCAGTGTATCTGATTTACAACTAAGCGTTGACCTTAAAAATATCAATCAAGACTGAGTCTCTATGAATAAAAATGGAAAAGGAGAGTTCTGTAGGGTAGGCTGAAGTCCTCTCACTGGACCCAAGACACTGCTACTCTGATCTTGTTTCAGTGCCAAGTCAAAACCTGATCATTCATGAGTCAGCAGCAAAGCTCAGCATAGAGAGAGGGAGGGATGAGCAGCTCCCAGCCTATAAAGAAATGATGCTGGTGACCACAGAGCTGCGTTAAAGCTCCCTTCGTGTGCCAGAGCTGTGTGTACATTCGCCAATGTCTTGGCCCTTACTCAAGCTGTTAGATGATGTTTTTGTGTCAGTTGGTGGATATTTTCATTTCATCTCCTTTACCAAAATGAAGAAACAATGCTGACACTTTAAATTCTCATACAGGTTGGGCACAGTGGCGCACACCTGTAATCCCAGCACTTTGGGAGGCTGAGGCAGAAGAATTGCTTGAGACCAGGAGTTAGAGACCAGCCTGGGCAACAAAGCAAAACCATGTCTCTACAAAAATGAAAAAGTTAGCTGGGCATGGTGGCACACACCTGCAGTCCCAACTGGGAGGCTGAGGTGGAAAGACTGCTGGAGCCCAGAAGGTTGAGACTGCAGTGAGCCGTGTTTGTGTCATTCACTCCAGACTGGGCAACAGAGTAAGACTCAAAACATAAAAATAAAAAACAAATATTCTCATACAATGTGCAATAAAATATATGATTTCATTGAGATTAATATGTATTTGAAATATATTCAGGAATCTTGGATTAAGGTTATAAGATTATCCTAAAATTCATATTATCTAATTTTGAGGGGACAAGCAAAGATTTATTATTATATTTCATTCCACTGACACTACTCCCTTTTTGAAGCTATACTTATTTATTTATTCAATTAAACATTTATTGAAAAGTAAATGTCACAAAATCAAATAATTACGGTAGAATTAAATACAATTATAATCAAGTGTAATTAAGTAAAGGTAATTAAAGATCACTGATGTAATGCATAATTAAATAAGTAATAACAAAATCAGAAGATTATGTATTCATTTACAAGACGGCATGCAGATGGTTACAGAACAAGGTAAACATAACTCTTACAATGTTTCTACAACTACATTTAATTTACAATTAGACATTTGATAATGGAAAGGCCTAAGAAATTTCAGGAATCAATAAATTCGTTTATTTTATAGCAGTGGAGAATTTCACTTTGGTCACTAACTAGATATGTGGACTTGGAAGAGTCTAAGCCTCATTTTACTTGGGAATAATGACACCTTCCTTACAAAGTGGTGATGATGGCCAGGCATGGTGGCTCAGCCTGTAATCCCAGCACTTTGGGAGTTAAGGTGAGAGGATTGCCGGAGCCTGAGGATTCAAGACCAGCCCGGGCACCTTGGTGAGTCCTCATCACTACAATAAATCACAAAAACGAGTCAGGCATGGTGTGCTTCTGTAGTTCCAGCTACTTGGAAAGCTGAAGCAGAAGGATCATCTGAGCCCATCAGGTTAAGGCTGTGGTGGCCATGAGTGTGCCACTGCACGCTAGCCTGGGTGACAAAAGTGAGACTCGAACTCAAAAAAAAAAAAGTAGTGATGATGAGATACTGAATGTATCAAACATAATAAGTGCTTAAGAGCAGGCAGCTCTTCTTATTGATGCTATTAGTGTTTGCTCAGAAAAGAAAACTTTACATATTTTTTTCTCAAATCTATTTAAACAGGAAAGAACAAGCTATTACAGGAAAAGTACAGATAAAATTCTCTGTGAAAATACTTACCTAAACTCGTTGCTTCATATTTGATCTTAAATCCTTGCCCTTCATTACTAATATCAGAAATAAACTGAACAAACATTTGATTATCTGAGGTGAAGAGAGTCAATGAAGCACGACTGCCACAAAAATGACCGTTTCCTCCAGGGGGTCCCAAGGGTGGAGAATAGATATCAGGTCCATTTTTTAGCTGGAAAAACACATTAAAGTTGCATAAACTCCTTTGTATTGCAAAAGATGGAGTGCAAAAGTCTGATCAATTTATGTCCCAGGAGAGAAAAGTCACCATTTTGCTTTCTGAAGGCCATCTGCAGAGAATGTAATAAGAAAGGGTAGCGAGCCAGACCTACCACCAAGTAATCCCCCTGGTTGCAGGAAGAATCTCCATTTGGAATCTGGAAGGGTTGTTCAAAATGGACAGCAATGGACAGACCACTTTGGACCAGGACATGCCAAGAGCAGTTGAGGCTGGACGTGTAGGTCTCAGGATAGTTGGGAGATGTGATAATTCCTCTGTCTGCATGCAAATATCCACCACAGCCTTCCCAAGAAGAGACAAAGGCAAGTTATTTACATGACCTTGACAACTGGAGCATTCTGCTTTCCTGGTTTTCTTGGGGAGGTTTTCAAAGTGTAGGCACTAGTCATGCTTGAAATTAACAGACCAAAGTGTAGGAAATGGTTAGTACAACAAGCATTTATTGAACACATGCTATTGTGTTATAGTCATTGTTGTTAGGATCTGGGATATACAGGTAAGTAGTAGAGAAAAATCACTATTGTAAAGCTTCCTTTATAAATGGGAAGACACGCAATAAACAAATATACAAGATATGAGATAGTGATAGGTTCTATAAAGAAAAAATGAATGGGAGGTGGGAGAAGTTAAGAGAAGGCCACGTCATTGGGTTTACATCTGAGCAGAGATCCGAATGAAATAAAGGATCAATATGGATGGCTTTGTTGGAAAAGAATATTCCAGACTAGAAAACAGGTGGTGTGATGGCTTGATGTGTTAGGGGCACATCATGGAGGTCAGATGGATGAAGCAGAATGATTCAAAAGTCGGCATTGCTAAGTCATGCAGGAAACTGACAAGACTTATTCTGAGAAAGAAGAAGTCATTGAGTGGACTTGAGCATCAAAATGGCATGATGTCACCTAAATTTTAAAGTAATCACTCTTACTGCGATACTTAAACTATAAGGAGTGGAGGGACAGGTAGAAACAGGAGCAGATTATCTACTAAGGAGGAGACACCTGAGTCCAGGGAAAGATGATAGATACCTGGGCTAGGACAGTATGGACAGAAATGGAGACAAGTCATTGGATCTAGATATTATGAGGGCACAGCCATGGTGATTCATTGGTGGCTGGGATGTAGGGTATGGGAAAAACAGAAGAGCCCAGGATGAAACCAAGATTTTTGGTTTAAGTAACTAGAAAAATGTATTTTCCATTTACTAAGATAGTAAAGAGTGTGGAATTAGAAGGTAGAAAAGGACAAAAATCAAGAGTTTAGTTTTCACAGGTTGAATTTGAAATGCATTCTGGACATGTGTCAAGTATGTAGGTATACATAGATACACATATTTATCTCTATTTATATATCTTTTAATTTGTATATAACAATAGTATATATGTACACATATGTATAATATATACATATATACATTTATACACATATACAAATAAATTACAATTATTCTACTTTCACTGTATATCCATTCACATATATGTAGGTGTATGTATGTAAAATGAGCTACAACACATATATACATGAGGAAGAGTGAACAGATGGAAGATGAGGAAAGAGAATGAATGGAGCAGACATTAATTCGCCAGTTGTCAGGGTCTAGACAGCTCATCAGCAAGTGAGTGTAGAAAGCTCACACAACTAGTTGAATTGCAGAGGTGGAAATTTATCTTAGGTCTGTCTAATTCCAAGGCTCAGTACGCCACTACACAGACTGCCTCCCTTGAGTGTGAAGAATATAATTTATCTTCAATTGCCCCTCACTTTATGAAAGGTGGAGGAAATATTAATTTTTATGTTAGATTGAGAATCTACTTTAAGCTTTTCCATTAAAAATATGAGAGTCAACATTCCATGCACTGCTTCTTTAATATTAATCTAGTTTAGATTTAGGCTATTATTGGATTTTACATGTCAAGTGTTGAAAGTTTCAATCATTCTACACATGGCAGGCATTCTATATACTATCACGCTCTCTGACTCATCAAATTCATATTTCAAGAGCAACAAACTCTTCCTGCTAACCGGTTACTCAAATGGATAATTTCAACCAAGGGATTTTTGAAGATAAATTATGACTTATTGCCCCTTTGATGTGTTTGATGTGATCTGTCTCCTAGTTCCAGCCCTCAGTTAGGTTCAGAAACCGTTTAAAGATCTCACTCGTGTGTCCACTATGAACACATTTCCTCTAGAGGGAAGATTCCTCACCCAGAGACCTGGAGGGGAGAGGCTTTTTATACAACTTGGTCACAGTGCTTTGGATGAGGACTCAATATTGACATTAAAGGTAGCCTCAGAGGCAGCAGAGACCCATGTCCTCTGACTTGTATCCTGTGCCCTGACATGAACAAATTATATTAGGGAGAGAGAAAGAGAGATGAGATGAGATGAGATTTTTTACAAGTTTGGACTCATTACTCTTGTGAAAGGACGCATTGAAGCCTGCCCTGGTTACACTGACGTCAGAAGTGAAGCGGATAAACATGTACTCTCCAGTAGACCGGATGGGCCCGGGAATGTCGCTGCCACACAGAACCGCTAGCTGCGGGGCCAAGTTACTGTCTCCTACGAGCAAAGAAGGGAAACATCAGTGTAAAAATACAATGTCTTAAGGATCTATTTCACCACCACTTGCATCCTAGCCAAAGCAGTTCAAGCATTTTTTTTTAGAACATCAGAATTCACAGAAGATAATGGGATTCTCAAAAAGAAGGACACCTCAGGGCTCATGTCATTCTGGCCCTGTTATAGGCTGAAAAGAGGCCATTTGGGTGATATTAGAACAGTCATTTAGAAAAGTCTTAAAAACGTGTATTCTTCTGTAGCTGAATTGGGCTAAATGTAAAAGCCGTTAGGATTCAAAAGTGGATATTTTTTCTATCACCATCCTTCCTCTATCTCCAGCACAACCTTGCCTGGCTGGTCAATCCTATCTAGCAAGCCATAGCTGGTACTGAAGAAGAAGCAGCTGGGCAAGCCAGACCACCTAATGATTAGGAGAGTGGTCCAAGGTCAACAAGGAGTTGGACTGAAAGCTTGGAGTAGGCATTGCCCACCTCCCCTCCATGAATACAAAGACATTGGTCTGTCATAGGCCAGGGCTCTGGGAATAAAAGATTGTTACAATTATGTTTTAGAACTGAAAGGGTGAAATCAAAACAAGTGACTTAGCTAGACAACAGCCGTTTTAACATTGCTTAGACTTTGACATCCTTTGCTAGCTGTCTGTCCCATTCCCCACTTCCTAATCATTAGCCAAGGACAGATCCAACTTTCTGGAGGGAGTTATTAATAATTGTTTTGCATCTCCCAAGCACGTCTATTCTAGGCCTTTGCTTACCAGCCACACAGGACCAAGCTGACCTCAATGGAATCAGTCTTTCGTGACTACCCACCAGCCCACCAGAGGCCGAAGGCCCTGGAGTCACAGGACTGGTTGCTCTGACAGTGCCAAGGACACAAGACCGGTGCTATCAATGCTTAGTCGTGCAACTGCTGGAGAGTTTTCTTTACCTGTCTCCTTGATTACAACTTTAAAAAACTCCCTTCCTCAGCCCCCCTTGCCACACTGCCGCTTAGTGCTGGTCCTGTTTAGAGTCTGTTCTAAATGTGAATAAACTCGTTTGCTTTACCTTTGCACATCTTTGCTTTATTCCTGTGGCACGGCCCACACCGCCTCTGTTTACTCTAACAAAAACAACTTACAGCGATCATCTTAAGTGTTGTGACTTCTCTTTCCTTTCAAATATTGCAATTGTCTGCCCCTTCCTCTAAAAAAAAAAACTGTAAAAAGAACATAGTATAAATTCCAAGATGTTATCTAAAATGTCAGCATGACCAGGAGACTTTGTGACATGTCAGGGATCACGTATCAAAAATTGTTGATGTAAATCTTAAGTCATGCTAAAACTGCACATAACTTCAAACTTGTGGTAAGTAAAGGGCTGTGAGTTTGGAGTATAAGTACTGGAAAGAATCTGTGCTGCTTTGAGTGAGTTTTTTGCAATGATGCCAACCTGTTTCCCTGTAACTTGGTTATAGAAATTAAACACTCCCTTTTCTCCCGGTCTCTGCCTCTTGTATTTTAATTAGCCACGAAGGATAGCAGCCAATTTACTGGACTGGGCCGTAACAGCTCCAGCTTACAGTGGTGCTGTCTGTCCTTTCCTTCACCCCTTTTGATAAAATCTTTTTTGACAATCTCCACTGTCTTTCCAAACACTGGCCACTAGTTCTTTCTGGCACTAAAACTCAAATTGGAGTACATGGGATTGGGAAGCATTCCAGGACCAGCGTTGATGTGTGTGCTTATTAGAGACTCTGACCTGTTACTCTAATTGCTGAAGGTCAAGTATATAAAAGAGAGAAACAAAGGTAGGTTTCTTTGACTTTAGATTCTATACTAACATTACAAGATTATTCACCAAGAAGCACCCAACTTTTATATGGACCTTTCTTCAGCTTCAATGGGGTAGTGGGATGTTTCGTTTGTTTGTTGTTTGTTGTTTGCTTTGGTGTAAAGAAGAACACACAGAGTGTAGAAAATGAGAAAAGATAGTTTCAGAAAGTGCCTTACTCCCCCCATAGAGGGAGGCAAAAGAGAACCTGTCCCCTTTTCATTTTTATTCTCTTGGATATAAGTTATCATCAAAGCAACTGTCCCAGCCGAAACCAGAATAGAGCAAAAGGGATTATAGCAGACTTGGAATAGTTGAAAAAGTATGTTGGGTTTTTTTTTTCCCCCTAGGGTAGACAATTAATAAATTTCAAGCTTATAAAAAAACAAGCACAGACCAGGTTCGGTGGCTCAGCCTGTAATCCCAGTACTTTGGGAGGCCGAGGTGAGTGGATTGCCTGAGCCCATGGGTTCGAGACCAGCTGAGGCAACTTGGCGAGACCTCATCTCTACAATAAATAAAAAATTAGCCAGGCATGGTAGTGTGCGTTTGTAGTTCCAGCTACTTGGAAAGCTGAGGCAGAAGGATGGTTGGAACTCAGCAGGTCGACGCTAGGGTGGTGGTGAGAATGCCACTGCACTCTAGCCTGGGCGATGGAGTGAGATGCCAAAAAAAAAAGAGAATAGAATGAGACATTAGGAAATGTGCCCTTTTACATAACCAGCAAAATAAATTCTTTTTGGCACTGATCACTACTTAAAACTCCTTAACGATTTTAGAAAGCAAGTTATTTTCTATTTCTGTGATTATAAATGTAATGGCACAGTTATAAATACAAAATGCTGGAAAAGGCATTCCTTGGAGGGTTTTGAAACTCTGGAAACTTTTGTGTTTTTTATCATTCAAAAGCTTTAAACACTCCCTTTGCACTTATTATCTTCATTATGCTATGTTGCTACACATTTCATCAAATATAATTTTTTGTTTGCTCATTCTCTAAAGAACTGTATTACAAAATTTTGAAGTTTATTATATGTTATTAGCTCTCATGGGATATTTTATTTCTCAATTTCACTTGGTTGGTTCTCTTTATTTTGATTTCTTTTCTAAAATCCACCATAGATTGTTTGATGAAATAATGTTAGCCAGGCTCGGTGGCTCAGCCTGTAATCCCGCGCCTTTGGGAGGCTGAGGTGAGTGGATTGCCTGAGCAGCGAGACCTCATCTCTACAATAAATCAAAAAATCAGCTGGGCGTGGTAGCGCATGCCTGTAATTCCGGCTTCTCGGAAGGCTGAGGCGGAAGGATCGCCGGAGCCCGGCAGGTCGTGGCTGCGGTGGTCGGGAGCGGCCACTGCACTCCAGTCTGGGCGACAGAGTGAGGTTCCAACTCAAACAAAACAAAATAAAACAAAACAAAAACAATGTTTATCTCAAAATAATTACTTATTGATTAACTATTTGGTAGATAACCCGAAAACAACAGATGGTCAGTTACTTGCCCTATTTTCATTCTCTATACTGAGTACTGGGATATTTCTAGAGCCTTCCAAAATCTCAACATATAAATTGAAGAAGGAATGAATCTAATCTTTATAAAGAGAGGCAAGTCAAAGAATCACAAAGTCTAGGCCTCGCGGGTAACTTGGTAATTCTTTCTTCAGTCTGACCTCTTCATTTTATTTTTTATTTTTTTGAGTTGGAGTCTCATTCTGTCACCCAGACTGGAGTGCAGTGGCCGCTCCCGGCCACCGCAGCCTTGACCTGCTGGGCTCCGGCGATCCTTCCGCCTCAGCCTTCCAAGTAGCTGGAACTACTGGTGCGCGCTACCACGCCCGGCTAATTTTTGATTTATTGTAGAGATGAGGTCTCACCAAGTTGCCCAGGCGGGTCTCGAACCCGCGGGCTCAGGCCATACACTCACCTCAGCCTCCCAAAGCGCGGGATTACAAGCTGAGCCACCAAGCCTGGCTGACCTCTTCATTTTAGAGATGTGGAAACTGAAGCCCCAAGATTATTAAAGGTTTATGTTTATTGAGCAATTACCATATGCCACTTTAAGTGCTTCACATGCAATATCTGATTTTATTTTCACAGTAACTCTATTAAGTAGGCATTATTTTTATCCCCATTTTGCAGATAAGAAAACTGAGTCTTGGTGTGGCCATGCTCTTTGAGCTATGGCTGTCTCCACGCTTCCTCACTTTGACCCCCTCCCCCACCTTGGGAAGTAAATCTTCTCTCTCCCTTCTCTTTCTCTCTCTAATTTACTTTTAAATAAACTTTTCTTTCTTTGCCTCTTAAAAAAGAAAGAAAAGAAAACTGAGTGTTAGAGGGGATGTAAGTTACATTGCTACATGCAAGGGCATAGAGCACAGATGCCAAAATGATTTTAGCCCTAGCAGATTAATCCAGATGCCCCCAAATGATGCTATTAAATAGTTTATTTAAGGTCATTTAAAAAGTACATTTCAGATCTGGAACTAGATAAAAGATTTACAAATTTTTGATATAATTTCTGCTATTTTTCTTTCTATTCATCTATTTTAAAGCTTTTTTAAAATGTCAGATGTAATTTCATAGAGTTTCAGCTTAGAGGAATATTTGGTACATAAAATTTGTCAGTATGTGGACTGGAAGAGTCTGATTCAGTTTTGAACCATGGCAACTCTGTAAAATGAATAAGAAGGTGGGAGAGTGACTCCGTTCTCTCAGGAAGGCTGCAGGACCCTCTCTAGGGTAGCCCAAGAATGTTCACAGTCACCCTACAACCAAGGGTCAAGGACCTAAGGCTTGTGATGACTAGTCAATTGCACAAGTAGCCTGTAAGTATCACTGTCTGTGGCCAGTTGGCTTTAGATCTTTGTTTTATAATGTTACACGCCTTGCTACTCAGATACAAAAAAATTGGCTCTGCAAAGAACAAATAATTGAAGTGGGATTTAAAATTTAGTTCTAAAAATATATTAACACTGTGTAAATGGACAAAATATTCATCAGTTGGCACATTAACTCAATAGCTATTTCTTTAAAAAAACTGTTTCTTGAATGAGTAAATAAGGAAAGAATCAATCTATTGGGCATCTGCTCATATTGTTAGTGCATAAAAAGGAATGGATATAGATAGGTCACACAACCAATTAAAATATTTTGGTTGTTTTGGCGTATACCTCCGTTTCTTTAGCTCTTTCTAGTAGCTCTATGTCTGACAAGGACACAAACAAAAGCTTTGTTAAAAATGTCTATCTGGGTTGGACGCGGTGGCTCAGTCTGTAATCCCTGCACTTTGGGAGGCTGAGGCGAGAGGATTGTCTGTGCCCGGGGGTTTGAAACCAGCCTGGGAAACTTGGTGAGACTTTGTCTCTACAGTAAGTCAAAAAATGACCCGGGTGTGGTAGCACACGCCTGTCGTTCCAGCTACTTCGAAGGCTGAGGTGGAAGGATTGCCTAAACTCAGCAGGTCGAGGCTGCGGTGGCCGTGAGCATGCCACTGCACTCCAGCCTGAGTGACAGAGTGAGACTCCAGCTCAAAAAAAAAAAAAAGAAAAGAAAAGAAAAAAAAGTCTACCTAGGTAAATTGAAATCTAAACTATTCTGAATTCTTCATCTACAAAATGCTTGGACTTTCGCTCAAAAAGTTGTATTTGTTACAACTGATTCTCACAAAAAGCCCACGAGTTAGGTAACCATTTGTGTCTCTTTCACAGGTTATATTAACAGGCTTAGAGCCATTTAGTGACTTGTGCAGGGTCACACAGAAGAAGAAAAGAATTGTTCCTCAGGTTCTAGGATTCCAAGAAAAGTTATTGATGGAACAAAAAAGCAACTCAACAGAATGTGATTTTTAAAGAATAACTATAATTTACCTCATTGATGTAGTTACCTTCTGAAAATATTTTTCTGAACACTTAGAGTATTTCTCTGAACACTTAGAGTATGTGTGCAAGGACACATCCATTTCATCACATGAAAAAAATTTTTATTTTTAAATTTTTTTGTAGAGAGTTCTCACTATGTTGCCTGGGCTGGTCTCAAACTCCTAAGCCCAGGCAATTCTTCTGCCTCGGTCTCCCAAAGTACTGGGATTACAGGTGTGAACCACCGCACCTGACTTATGAAATATTTTATTTTATTTATTTTGGAGATTTCTTTCTTTTCTTTTCTTCTTTTTTTTTTTTTTTTTGAGTTGGAGTCTCACTCTGTCGCCCAGACTGGAATACAGTGGCATGCTCTCGGCCACCACAGCCTCGATCTGCTGGGTTCAGGTGATCCTTCTGCCTCGGCCTTCCAAGTAGCCAGAACTACAGGCACATGCCACCATACCCTGCTAATTTTTTGATTTATTGTACAGACGAGGACTCACCAAGTTGCCCAGGCTGATCTCGAACCCCTGGGTTCAGGCAATCCACTTGCCTCAGCCTTCCAAAGTGCTGGGATTACAGGCTGAGCCACCGAGCCCAGTCGGAGATTTCTCTTTGAATAAGTTTTAAATAACAAAATGAATTTTCTTTATAGTTATAGGACTATTTAGAGTGTCTATCTAATATTGGGTGACTTATAGTAGTTTTTGTTTCTTAAATGCCAGTATCCACAGAAATGCTTTGATGTGAGGATAGACAATAGTTCTTCTGGGCAACAAGCTGATAGCTGACTGTTGTTAGGAAAAAGAGGAAAAGTCTGGCTTATCTTTCATCACATCTACATGATTGATTGGAGTCTTAGGGTCCAGCAAAAATATTTTCAGTAGGTAACTACATCAATAAGGTAAATTATGCCTATTCTTTTAAAGTCCCACTCTGTTGAGTTGCTTTTTGTTCCATCAATAACTTCTCTTGGAAGTTAGAACCTAAGGAACAATTCTTTTCTCCTACTGTGTGACCCTGCACAAGTCACTAAATGGCTCCAAGCCTGTTATATCTTTGGTGAAAGAACCACAGATGGATAACTACCTTGTGGACTTTTTGTGAGGATCAGGAAGGAACATAAACCATGTCAACCATTTGATTTTTCCTACTCAGTGGGGGTTTAGGGATGAGGGGACAAAGGAGACAAGATCTTGCATGCTAGTAACCTGTGGATCACAAGCAAACATGTTTTGGCTGTGAATATGCATTTCTAACAAGTGCCCAGGTGACGCTGATGCTGCAGAACTGGGGACAACGCTGAAAAATCGTGATGTGGAGGATGTGGCCTCCCTGCTGTCCTCCCTCATTCCAGCCCCTGGGAACTGGGAAGCACAATTGCATACATGTCGCATATCAGCATTATTTTTATCCCTACCTCATTGCACAACACCACACCTGTGCATGGAGAATAGGATGCTCAATTCTATCCATTCTATCCAGATTCAGCGGACAAAGAGAAATGAATACATTATCATTGTAAATGTTTTTCACTTGGATCGTAAAGCTACAGATATACAATACAATATTTATCTCTGAGGCTTTTCAGTAAGAAAGTAGCATGACCTAAACGTTCAGGCTATTCACGCCTACATATGCCTCTTTTAAAAAGCCTTTATTGCCGGGCTCAATGGCTCAGCCTGTAATCCCGCGCCTTTGGGAGGCTGAGGTGAGTGGATTGCCTGAGCCCGCGGGTTCGAGACCCGCCTGGGCAGTGAGACCTCATCTCTACAATAAGTGAAAAAAATCAGCCGGGCGTGGTAGCACATGCCTGTAATTCCGGCTACTTGGAAGGCTGAGGCGGAAGGATCACTGGAGCCCAGCGGGTCGAGGCGACAGAGTAAGACTCCAACTCAGAAAAAAAAAAAAAAGCCTTTATTGGCTGGGCGCAATGGCTCAAGTCTGTAACCCCAGCACTTTGGGAGGCTGAGACAAAGGGATTGCCTGAATTCACAGGTTTGAGACCAGCCTGGGCAACATGGTGAGACCTCATTTCGACAATAAATCAAAAAATTAGCCGGGCATGGTAGTATGCACCTGTAGTTCCAGCTACTTGTAGGACTGAGGTGGGCAGAAGGATCGCCTCAGCCCAGCAGGTAGATGCTGGGGTGGCCGTGAGCATGCCACTGCACTCCAGCCTGGGCAATGGAGTAAGACTCCAACTCAAAAAAAAAGCCCTTTATTTCCTCTTAGGAATGTTGAGTTTTCCTTGGCATTTTGTAACAGGCAATTAAATACTTTATGTTCTTCAGACATTGAAGCTAATGCTGGTATTTGACACCTTCGTTAACCACAATATCTGTGTAATTCTGTAAAGAGTGGATAGAGGAGCAACTGATCAGTGGAAAATGAAAAAGTAGTCTGCATACACGATGGCTGGAATACTATCCAGTCATCAAAAAGAATGGAAAAATGGCTTTTGCAGCAACTTGGATGGAATTGGAGGACATCATCCTAAGTGAACTAACTCAGGAACAGCAAACCAAACACTGCATGCTCTCACTTATAAAAGGGAGCACAACCAAGAATCTGCAAAGGCAGAGAGAATGGTACAAGGAGACTCAGAAGGGGAGAAGGGAAAAGTGGTGGAGGGATGAAAAATTACCTATTGGGTACAATGTGCACAGGTGGGGCGGTGAGCATACTCAAAGCCCAGACTTCCTCATTGCCATACAATGCAATCATGTAACCAAAAACTGTACCCTCTAAGGCTATTGAAATAAAAGATAAACAAATAAATCTAAAAGGAATGAATGGAGGCAACAAACAACTATGATGGCAATGGAATATAACCAAATATGTATAAGGGTTGAGATATATATATATAATTTTTTTTTTTTTAAATGTGCTCACCATCTCTTATCACAAGGCTGTCATAGGCACATGTTCGGTGAGATTCAATATCCAGAGAAAGGATGTTGAGTTCCACAGTGGAATCAGGAGCCTGGATAAGCCACGTACATTCAGCCCTATTACTGTAGCTGCTGGGCCAACCCGGGGAGAAAAAAAAGACTGGCTCAGCCCCTGTCCTCAGGAAGCCACCACAAGCACCTGCAGAGAGAAAAGCAGTATCTTTGAAATACCCCCTAATCACTTTTTCACTTTAAAGTGACAGCCCCATACCAAAAAGAAACAACCAACTCAAACAACTTTCCCAAAGAAATCAACAGACATTTTAGAAAGCCAACCGATTCAGACAGCCATAATTTCCACTATTTATCTTTTGTGTAAGACAACTACCTTGTGTTCTACTTTTCCATCAACATTTTGCCATATAACCCACATATCACTGAGTGTTGACTATTGTTAAGCATAATTAAGTACATGTAGAAAACCCTCCCCTCCTGTATTACTGGGGTAGAACTATATTCACATTTCCTATGTTTCTCATGTTTCTCCATTTTTTTAAACATAGCTATTCATAGTGTAATTTGTATCTAGACAGTTTTGAGGTGAGATCTTAGGGCCTTCGCGGGTTTAGTTTTGGGTATGTGCACATCTGGGCATATATGTATGGCCTTCTAGATTTCCAGAAACATAGCAGAGTTTTTACAAAACCCTTTGTGGACATCTCATTCCCTATTTTTTCTTTTCCTGATTTCTGGTCAGTTTCTTGTTCATTATAACTGTTATCCCTGCACCTCATGCAGTTATGATGTTAAACAGCTGCTGATTGTTTTCAGCAAACACCCTATGGATAGGGTTGCACAGAGTGAGCTGTTACTCAGGTCATGTGAAAATAAGCTCTGAGAATGGAGTTTTCCAGAAAGCATTTCCTGATGCTCTTGTGGTTGGGTGAGGCCATTTGACCAGTTCTGACCAATGAACTATGAGCAAAAGACATGTGTACTTTTATACTGAGCACTTTTAGAATGAGACATTCCAGGGTTCTTTTCCCTTCTGCCATGGTCATAGGCAATGTCCCAAACAATAGCAGCTCCAACAGCCTGGGTTGCGGAGTGATAATGATGACAAGGCCCCCAGTTAACTCAAGAAGGATATGTAGCATGAACAAGAAAGAAACTGTGTTGGTTTTAGCCAGTAAGAGTTTGGAATTATTTCCAGAAAGCCACCAGATAGGTCAAATAATGGCAATTCCTTGGAGGTGGGCTGTTTTCTGGAGCTCTAACCCCATTCTTCTCAACCATCACCCAGAGCTGCTAAGCTGTTGGTTTTCCCAGTTATACGGTTGTGAGGCTGGGGTCAGGCTACTGTAAAGCTAGGAGGAGAGGGAGAGAGGATAAGAAAAGTTTAGATCCCACAAAACTGACTATTCTTACTGAGATTCAGCTATGTTTCTTGAATAAACACACGTGAAGTTTTTATAAGGCTATGGTTAATTTCCTAAAAGTTGATTTTGATGACTTTTGCCAGTGTTCTCATCACTTTTATGGAAGAATGGATTTTCTCTAAAAGTTGATTTTGATGATTTTTGCCAGTGTTCTCTTCACTTTTATGGAAGAATGGATTTTCAGAGGTTTATACTTCATGATACCAGAAGCTTATGATGCATACCATAATACGTCTGAATCTTGTTAGGGTCATCAGGAAATAAGTATAAAATATTATACAACTAGATCTTCATTTATTTAAACCTTATTGTATAGGCTGCATATGTTTTCTTTTTTAAAAAAGCAACCTCAGGTTTAAAATCTGAATGATGGCTGTTATCCAATGTCTTCCAATTTAAAGGTTTTCCTCTGTATGAAATATTTCTTGTCTTGAATTTATAAAAGATGGTTGTCACACTAACTGACTGTGGGTCATTAGCATTGCTTGCCAAATATTCTATCTGTCCCCATTTCCAAGCACATGATAGAATTACATTTCCTGATGCTCTTGTGGTTGGGTGAGGCCATTTGACCAGTTCTGACCAATGAATTATAAGTAAAAGACATGTACACTTTTATACTGAGCACTTTTAGACTGAGACATTCCAGGGTTCTTTTCCCTTCTGCCATGGTCATAGGCAATGTCCCAAACAATGGCAGCTCCAACAGCCTGGGTTAGGGAGTGATAATGATGACAAGGCCCTCAGTTAACTCAAGAAAGATATGTAGCATGAACAAGAAAGAAACTGTGTTGTTTTTAGCCAGTAAGAGTTTGGAATTATTTGTTACTGCAGCATGACTAAGCTTTTCCTGACTGATACACTGACTAATGTTTTCCAGTTTGATTTGTTTAATTTTTTTCTGATGACGCTCCGCCGCAATAAGCTCACTTTCTTCTGTTTGCTTATTTGCTGCTTGTACTACTTGCTCTGTCATTTAACCATTTGTTACTATGCTGTTATTTGACAAACATATGAACACTTTGTCTTTCCCAATTACTTTTAAGTTACTGAAGAGTAGAAATTGAATCTTGGTTTCCTTTCTTAGTTACCTAAGTGTATCCATAATAAATTCTCAATAAAAATGTGTTAAATTAAATTAAATATATGCATGTATAAGAAATGCTGATGGTGTAAGGATCAGTATCTTGATACTAATACTAAGTTTTTGTAGCTTTAATAAAACTTTCAAAGTGTAGAGTCATTACAAGATAATAATGTATGCCATCTAGATAACTAGTAAACTTTAAAACGTTCCCACCCTCTTATTTTATCCTTTCCTTGCTCTCTTTTACTAAGAAAAACAGAATTTATTCACTTATCCACTGACATCGCATAATTATAGAATATTATTGGAAGGAAATTTGTTGGTGTAGTGTTTTGCATGAGTAAGTAATTCCTCTACCTTGAGATTTGTGAATATTAAAAAAAGCTTAACTAAGTTCATTTCTAAGAGCTCTGGATATATCTATCCAGAATTAAATGTCACCTCTAAATTTCATTTGCCAATCTTAGTAATAGTTCTCTGCTCTTAGATAAATGGATTAATATTTTAAGGAAGTGATTCATATTCAGTGTCATGAAAGCACCTCATAAGAGGGGTAAAAATAACTTCCAGAAAAGAATACTAAGGGACATTAAACAAATATAAGTACAAATTATATATTAATCAGTGATCTCTGCTAATCTAAATTCTCAAGAAGTTAGAAGAAAATAGACTTTAATGTTCCAGGATATGTTTAGCCATAGAAGTTCAGAGTTTGAATTTTCTTCAGTGAGATTCCATGATCATGTGTACCAATCAAATATTCAAGAACTGAGAATATCCTCTAAGAAATGTCTGAATATCTTCTATGTCAACCATCAGATTTCATAAGAAACATTCAAATTTGTTTAAATAATTTTAAAGGAAAAAGCACAAAGCTTCCAAAATACTGGTAACTCAGTATTACTTTAGCTGAGAGAATTAAGAATGTCTTTAAAAATAATAAAATAAAGTTTAAAAATTAAGCCCATTTTACCTAGAAATATGAAAGTTTACAACCACCTAAAAAGAAACAAAATAGAAATGAATGCAAATGAAATATAGAGGAAAGACTGTTGCTTCTGCCTGTTAGTTGATACTAAACAAACTTATTGTGTGTGTGTGTGTGTGTGTGTGTGTGTGTGTGTGTGTGTGGTATTTACAAATCAAATATTCAGGGTTCTCTAAAGTAGTATCTAGAAATTGTAGGTAGAGTACCTCATGGATATCAAACCCTTAATAATATTAAAATATAATGGAAAACCTGCATTATAAGAAACAAATGTTAAACTTTTTTTCAGACTGGAGTGCAGTGGCTGCTCCCGGCCACTGCAGCCTCGACCTGCTGGGCTCCAGCAATCCTTCCGCCTCAGCCTTCCAAGTTGCTGGAACTACAGGCGCGCTACCATGCCCGACTACTTTTTTGATTTTATTGTAGAGATGAGGTCTCGCCAAGTTGCCCAGGCGGGTCTCGAATAAATTTTTTTAAATATAGTATTTATGAACTTAAAAGAACACCTGAACATATGGTGGAAGTGCTTTGGGCTGTACTTATTCATATTTATGTTTTTGGTCCCTGTTATGACAGGACTCTGAAATACTGGCCTGTGGTTATCAGTCCTAAAAAAGAATTTCATTCATTAGCAAACTCACCTGGAGCAATGGTAGGTAAAAGTCCAACAGGTTCATCTACTGCAAACCACTCCAGAAGAAATCCCTTCCCTGAGACTGAAGTATCAGAAAGAAAATGAATTGTCAAGGAATTTCTAGTGGAGCTAAAAGATTCAGTCTGGGTGCCACAGTAAGTTCCAATCAGGCGGGAATGAATGCCAAGCCCATCATAAACCTGCATATAAAAATAGAAAATAGAGCATTGTATTTAGAAAATTACCTCTATTTTTCTTCATCAAAAAGAAATTTTAAAAGATGCCTTACATTACTACAATCTTATCACAGTGAAAAAAAAACAATGAACTAGTAAATGCTTTATTTTAGCTTAAAACAGAAAGTGTCATTGAATATAAAATATTATTACAAATGATATAGTATGTTTAAAAACATATTTTTGTTGCTGAATTACATTTACAGACATTATTTGTGGGCTATATAGCTCATTAGATGATTTACAGCAGAATCTGTAGACAAAAAAGTAGGTACAAGGGTTGTTATGCAACAATAGTACTCAATAAAAGTGCTTTGGGGCCCTGTGGGTCTTTTCCCACTGTGGGAGCTTTCCTGTCCTCTCAATAAATCCTGCTTTCTCACACACACACAAAAAGAATCAGATTGATACACTAGCTAATATCTGAATGGCAATGATCACCATGATTTTCATATCTGTATTTATATTTACATGATCTTACAAATTTTTAATACTCTAACATAGCAGATGAAGATGAAGCCCAACAGGTAAATTATAATAATACTAAAAAAATTCCTTAGATATCAAATAGAAAATAATAAATATAATATCAAAATTGCCTCTGTTCAGACAATCTAGAGGTAGTAATTATGATTTGGGGCAGACAATGTCATATGATTTGCAAATGCCTGAGTAAACATTAGCTAGAATTTATTTTTGCCAATAGCAACTCACCAAAATTAGTAAACCTCAGTTTCACATGGAAACTCACCCTTAGTTTGTCATAATAGCAGTTTTGTGTTTCTTCAATGTCCATCTCCAAGATTCTACCATGGATAACTTGAGACACATTCACATTTACTATCCATTGGTAATTGGAGTTATGGTGATAATTTCCAGGCCAGAACGGAGAGGCGATTTTCCCACGCGTTCCCACAATATTATCATTGCCAAATACTAGGAGGAAAAACAAAGTTATAAATCAGACCTGCTTAGAATTGCTCTTTAATCAAATGAAAAAAAAAAGACAAAAGGCAAGGGATGTTGAAAAGGATGAACTTTTAATTTACTGTGATTTCTTTGCTGACTATTGAAAGAAATACTGCTTCTCTTTTGATTTCTAAGCTATCTATTAATTCCTCAGAGAAGGGTGATTTTGTGAATGGAATTCCATCTCCTTAAAGAGTGAAAGGAGGTGACAACTTCCCATGTGAAAATAGGTTCCCAGCCCCCAAGGGATCTGGGCACATAGGAAGGGGGATTAGCAATCTCACTTACTAATTTTGGTTTACCTATTTTACTTTAATTTACCAAAGAATGGAACATGTCTTTAAAAATTTTATATGATAAGATAAACTGACAGTTTGGAATTACATATAGAATAGCTAATGACAGAAACATTGAGTTCGAAAACAAAAACACTTAACATTTTATCCTATTAGAAGAATACCCTATTATTATTATATCTGAGCACTGAAGTCAATACCAAAGCAATACTAAAGGGCTTTAATACATTTAAAATAGTTTAGAGACCAAATTAAAAACATATTTGACATAAATATACCAAACATAAACTGTAATATATTAGAAGACTCTTTAACACAATATCATGAAAAAAATTTAAGTTAATATTAGGTAGAAACTAGAGCTTAAAAAGAATCTTAGAACCATTGAGAATGTTCTCCTTTGCTCTTAATGAGCCATCTGCATATAATTTAGTTTTTCTAGTATATTACATAATAAAATAATTCGAAAGATAATATAGGAGAACTGTGTAGAGTTTAGGATTGTTCTTGCTTTATTGAAAATTTGTTACCATTTCTAGCTTGTAGGGCGCATTCTGGAAGCCACACTGAAATAGAACCAACTCACTCTTAGTAAACGTGGCCTGGAAGCCTGTGCCACTGCCCGAGCCATCTGAGATAAATCTGACCCACAGGATGTGCCCAGCAGTGGACGAATAATTGAGAGGGAGGGAGTTTCCACAGTATTGTCCCACCAGGTGACCCGTGGCGTTTCCTTCTCGAATCTCCACAAAATCTTTGCTGCAGTTCTGAGAGTCTTCCAACTGGAAAGATCTGATTTGGAAGAAATCAGAGATTTTGACAGAAATTAAATTGAAGAATAAACTTTGGGATAATTCTGAATCACATGCTGAGTTAACCTGTTCATTAAAAAAAAAAAAAAAGGCTCTTTTAACTTTGGTTACAAGATCCTTTAGCTATCTCAAACATTTCTTTCACTCAAGTTTGTTGAAATGCCTATTCAAGAGCTACAAAGACAATTAATATATTGTTTCAAGCAGTTTGCTTTCTGATGAGAACAACTGGGCAAAACTACAGAAAAAAATATAAAGCAGAATAGTGTGAGTGCAATCAGAGCTCTGAAGTGGCATAAGAATTTTGAAGCAGAAGCACCACATCTGACTGTGGGACTTCATAATACCTTGATGGATTTTTTTTTTTAAGATGGAAATGTAAACATTAGATGGATTTATTTATTTATTTATTTGTTGAGTCAGTGTCTCACTCTGTCACCCAGGCTGGAGCGCACTGGCACACTCACGGCCATCCCAGCGTCCACCTGCTGGGCTCCAGTGATCCTTCTGCCTCAGCCTTCCAAGCAGCCAGAACTACAGGCAGGCGCTACCACACCCAGCTAGTTTTTGATTTATTGTAGAGACGAGGTCTCACCAGGTTTCCCAGGCTGTTCTCAAACCCACAAGTTTAGGCAAACCACTCACCTCGGCCTCCCAAAGTGCTGAGACTAAAGGCTGAGCCACCGAGCTTGGCCCATTAGATGGATTTAAAGAGCACAGATGGTGGGCAGAGAATGCATGCCAACAAGTCACACACGCAGAACAGGGTGGACCATATTTAGATACTGTGAGACATTTAGTTTGATTAAAATACTGAGTATCTCAAAGGAACCATGTAGCTGAGGCAGTAAGATGGAGTCGTTTGGCAGACTCAAATGCTCTGCAAAGGCACTTAAATTCTGGAAAGGTAGAAAAATTGTAGGATTTGCAATGACACAGACTAGTGCCCAAAGGTAACCTCTTCAACTTGCCTTATATTTGACAACTGCGATACAAGGTGAAGTAGACAATAGGAAATAATACCTACCTCATACGATTGCCATATGTAACATATAAAGGTTCTAAAACACGTAGGTGCTACATGAATGCTTTTAAACCTTGGCCTTGATGTTTAAAGACTTGGAGCTAATAAAGATAACATGGTATAGGTGTAAGCACAGACAAATAGATGGATGAAAATAAAAGAAAGTCCAGAAGAGGACCCACAAATATACAGTCAACACAATACGATCCAGCGTGCCAAGACAGTTCAATGGGGAAAAGAAAATCCTTTTTAAAAAATGGTGCTCCAATAACTGGATATTCTTATGGAGAGAAAAAAAAAGAACCTCAAATTCTGCCTCTCATCATAAATAGAAACAAATTTAATATTTCTCAATAGATGTAAACATAAAAGCTAGAACCATCTCAAAGAATAGATAAGAGGAATATCTTTGTGACCTTAGGCAGGCAAATGTTTCTTAGAATGTAAAAAGTTCTAACCATGAGATAAGATGTTAAAAAGTTTGACCTCATCAAAAATAAAAATTCCTCCTCATTAAAGACATGAATAAGAAAATGAAGCCAGGCTCGGTGGCTCAGCCTGTAATCCCAGCGCTCTGGGAGGCTGAGGTGAGTGGATTGCCTGAGCCCGTGAGTTCGAGACCCGCCTGGGCAACTTGGCGAGACCTCATCTCTACAATAAATCAAAAAATTAGCCAGGCGTGGTAGCGCATGCCTGTAGTTCCAGCTACTTGGAAGGCTGAGGCGGAAGGATTGCTGGAGCCCAGCAGGTAGAGGCTGCGGTGGCCAGGAGTGTGCCACTGCACTCCAGTCTGGGCGACAGAGTGAGACTCCAACTCGGAAAAAAAATAAAAAGAAAATGAATAGGCAAGTCACAGACTGGGGTTGGGGGGTAAAGATCATTGCAAAGCATTTCTCTAACGAGGGACTCAGCTGGAATATAAAAAGAATTTCTACAAGTAAACAATGAAAGAATAGACAACGAAATTAAAAAAGGAACAGATATGAACAGACATTCATAAAAGAATATAAGTAAATGGCCAATGAAAATGTAAAAAGTACTCTGATTAGTCATTCAAGCAATGCAAATTCACAATAAGATATCATTTCACATCCGACAGAATGGATAACATAAAAAAGACTAACAAGATCAAATGTTGGCAGGTACACATAGCATCTAGAAGTCTCATATATTCCTGGTGAGACTATATGCTGACACAACCACTTTGAATAATTATTTGAGACTTTCTTATAAAATTAAACACACATCCAATTAATGCCCAGATAGTCCACTCCTACATGTTTACTCAAGGGAAATAAAAACACTTGATCATGTTAGTATCCTGAATATAAAATAACTCCTGCAATAAAATTTAAAAATTAAAAAGACAAATAGCCCAACTGATAATACCAAAGAGGCCGGGCTCGGTGACTCAGCCTGTAATCCCAGCACTTTGGGAGGCCGAGGTGAGTGGATTGTCCAAGCCCGAGGGTTCGAGACCAGCCCAGGCAACTTGCGGGACCTCATCTCTGCAAAACATCAAAAATTAGCCGGGTGTGGTAGCACACGCCTAGTAGTTCTGGCTACTTGGAGCTGAGGCAGAAGGATCGCTGGAGCCCAGCAAGTCGCGGTTGCAGTGGCTGTAAGCTTGGCACTGCACTCCAGCCTGGGCGATGGAGTGAGACTCCAACTCAAAAAATAATAATAATAATAATAATGAAAAGAAACTGAATAAGCATTTCTCCAAAGAAGATTATGAGTGACCGATAATAAAATGAAAAGAGGCTCAACACCTTGGTCAATAGGAAAATGCAAATCAAAATCACCATGAGACAACACTGAAAACCCACTCGGACGACTGTTATGGAAAAAAATGAAAAATAAGTGGTAATGAAGATCTGGAGAAGCCAAGACCCTTATTATGTATTGCTGGAAATGTAAAATGATGCAGCCTCCGTAGAAAACAATTTGTTGAATCTTTAAACAGTTAAGCAGAGAATTACCATATAATGCAGAAATTCTACTTCTAGGTCTATATCCAAAAGAATTGAAAGGGACTCAACCAGATACTTCTGCACTAGTGTTCATAGTAGCATTATTCATAATACTCAAGAGGTGAAAACAACTCAAATGTCCATCAACAGAGGAATAGATAAACAAAATGTGATATTCATGATTATTATTCACTCTAAAAAATAATTAGATTTTGAGCGGGGCGTGGTGTCTTACACCTGTAATCCCAGCACTCTGGGAGGCAGAGGCGAGAGGATTGCCTGAGCCTACAGATTTGAGACCAACCTGGCCAACTTGGCGAGACCTGGTCTCTACAATAAATAAAAAAATTAGCCAGGCATGGTGGTGTGCGCCTGTGGTTCCAGCTACTTGGAAGGCTGAGGTGGAAGGATTGCCTGAGCCCAGAAGGTTGAGGCTGTGGTGGTGGTGAGCATGCCACTGTGCTCCTGCCTGGGCGACAGATTCAAAAAAAAAAAAGTAAATTCTGAATATGCAACAACATGGATGAACTTTGAAAACATTATGTTAAGTAATATAAGCCAGACACAAGAGGACACATGTTGTATGATTCTACTTACAAAAGAAGCCTATAATAGACAGATTCACAGACATGGAAAGTAGAACAGAGATTACCAGGAGCTGAGGCATAGGAGTGGAGAAAGGGGGAAACTATTGTTTAAAGGATGCAGAGTTTCTGCTTGTGATGATGACAAGTTCTGGAAATGGACAGTGGTGATGGTTACAAAACACAGTGAATGTACCTAATGCCACTGGGTTGTATTAATAATATAAAAATGGTTAAAATGATAAATTATAAGTTATGTATAATTTAGCACACACACACACACACACACACACACACACACACACACACACACACACACACACACAAAACCCTGGGGAATTTTCAGTGGTAAAACTAAATGAACAGAGTCCTGCTTGGGAAAGTTAATCTGCAGAAACATATAATGGTAATGAATGGGAGCAGTAGACAAATCTTTCTGTTTTTTGATATATTCAATCTAGCATAGTGGGGTGTCACCCAAACGGGTCTATCAGGACTAATATGCACATCTGGACTTCAGAAAAGATACTAGGCTGCATTTGCAGATTACCTGTATGTGCATAATAATAGATGAACACATGGCCAGATTTTTTAGAAATTAAAAAGTGAGGGGTAATAAATTGATATGAGAGAGAGGGGGGGAGGAAGGAGAGATGCTTTGAGAGCACCCACACTTTGAGTGCAGAGAAAGGAAGAGGAAACAAGAAACACAGGAATTGTTCAAAAAATGAGAAACAACCAAGTTCACTGCCATGTCACAGAAGCCACGAGAAAATTAAGGAGAGGGTGAGGAAGAGTGATAGAGTGGCGAAAGACCCAGGACTGAGAATAGGTTACAGGATTTGGTTACTAAGAAAATATTAGCAACTTTTAAATGAGCAGTTTCAGAGTGTCCACTGTAGAATTTATATTTCAACCTTTTAAGAAATAAATTAGATGACTGCTATTTTTTTCCTACAGGCTAGTGAATGCAATAACAACAACAAGCTTTCTGTAACATCTAACAATTAAAATTTACAAATTATTTACATTCACTCTTTTCATGTGTGTGTTTATTAGCATTCATAAAAATGTATCGATGTAGTTAAGCACAAATCAATCTCAGAAAATATTAAAACTATTAAAAAACATTTTCTCTGACCACTATAAAATGAAATAGGAAACAGTAGCAAAGAGATAACAAAAAGGTCCCATAATTTGGAAATGTAATAAAATATCTGTCTATATAAGCCATATGTCAAACTGAAAACAAACCCGGAAATTAGAATACATTTAGAACTGAATGAAAACATTATATAATAAAACTTAGGAGGTATAGTCAAAGCAATATTTAGAAGAAAATTTATGGCATTATGTGCTTATGGTAGAAAAGAAGAAATATTAAGAAAAATAAGCTACG